TTCCATGTATCTGTCATGAAGGCTTGATCTGCGACACCTGATTTGGGCTGCAAGTGGTACTGGTCAAAAAAGTTCCTGAGGACAGTGATGTTCTCGGCGTCTTGCGTAGTTGTCACTGCCTCTGCAGTGAGCAATGTTGTTGCTCCATCCAGGATGACAAAAACAATGATGTGTTCTCCTGTTCCAAGAGGAACTTGACAGTGATCAATGAATGTCATGTCACCAAAGGTGTCCGCTCGAAGTCCACTTGTTTTGATTCGTGATGGTGCATGTTTTGCCGCTTGGCAAACTTCACACTCACTTCGGATCTTGTCAAATAGATCGAATGTTGATTTCGGCAAATGAAGTGCTCGGGTTCTAAATCGAAATTGATCTGTTGTCATGTGATGATGCTGCAGGTGGAGTTTCTTCAACTCTTCGGGAATTGACAATCGCTTGTGTATTCTGCCTAGGGCAAGCGGAAGCGATGTTGGTTCTTCTGAGGATGGTGCGAAAGGATCTGGCTCAATAGTCGACCGGCCCCTCTTGTCGATGATCCTGTCTGCTGCCGATCGTGAACCTGCTTCTTCGTCCTTAAGCGAATTGTCCGCGAAGGTGAAAATGGTCTTACCTGTCCGCAGGTTAATCATCGGTTTATTTGCCTGGGATGTAAGTCTCCAATTGTCTTCTAGAATGTCTGGATCTCCACCTGCGGATGCATCAATGATTTCCGTAGTACGTTCTCGGCTAATGTGATCAGGATTGATTGGACATTCCTTGGCTCCATTTGGTGTGAACAGCGCCTTTCGGGGCGTGATGTGCACACGGATGAGCTGCTTGTTCTTCTTGTCAAGGGTCCAATGGTCCTGCTTTTGAGACCCAATGATCTTAGGAGTTGCTAGGTCCTCCTTTGTCTCGCATGATTTTGCTGCACAAACAGTTTCGCTCTTGGTGAGATCCCCGGAGGGAAACTTGATGCTGGTATCATCGTCATAGACATAGTTGATGAGGCCCTTGTGAGCAATTTCTCCATGCGCCTTCACTCTTGCAACTCCAGCGAGATCGACGAGTGCATGTCCTGTACCGGATACTGGAACTGCTTGACGGTTCATGCCAAAGGCCTTGCATGTGATCTTGTCACATTGAGGTGTGTGCTCGATGGTCATGTAGAGGTTCCGCATCTGGCTGATGCTGAGAAGGATCGGTACAGTTCCTTGTTCAAGGACGTCGATGTTGGTACTGCATGGAGGAGTTGTGTGATATCGAAGATGCAGGGTCCAATTTACCCTGGCGGTCTCTCCGCTTGCAAAAGTGAACTTGGTCTCGGCCGGGATGTACTCACAGGAGATGATGTCCTTCATTGGTTCGATGGCCTGAGTAAAACGCTGGATTGCGTGCCAGCTGCCCATAGATCTGGCACATCCATTGTCCAGAATCGCATAGGTCGGGTTGTGCTGAGGGCGCCATCAGCTTTGTTGCCAGAAGGCTGTGATTTGTTGTGACGGACAGATTGTGTTCTGAAACTGTATCTGATTGGATCAGCTTCTCGTGGATGGCCTTTTTCCCAGGATGCTCATATGCATCATGGAATGCCATTAACGCTTGTCCTGTGCTGGATGTCTCATGGGATGAGTACCAGCCATGTTCGTTCCATGTCCATGATTGATCCCAGTCTTGGTCTGTCCAACCGGCATAGGTAGGCTCTATGGATGGTGCAGTCTGCTGGATGGCGGGCTGCTCCTCCGTCTTCTCTGCGGTGGCTGCGAACGTCTTGGATTTTCCTTTCTCCTGTCCGCTCTTTCCTTTGCCACTCTCATAGGATGGATAACCTTTGTTTCCATCATAGGGATAATGGAATTTTGATTTTCATTTCTTTCCCTTCTTTCCTTTGCCTTTTCCCCAATATGCCTGGTCGTAGGGATCATAGTTGGCCATATTGGCCTTTCCGCCAGAACCGCTTTTTCTGAAGGGTTTAAAGCCACCTCCGTTGGTGACTGCCCTTTTTGTTTCCTGATTTTCCTTTTCCTTTTCTCTTCTTGAACTTGAAGTTCCGCCCCGACACTTTTCTTGCTATGAACGCATCGTTCTCCTCGAGGACCCAGAACGTCTCTTCATCGTTGTTTGACATGAATCCTTCAAGTCCTTCTTCATCCTCAACCCAGAAGCCTTCTTCTCCTTCGTATTCACCTTGTTGAAGAATGTGTTGCTTCGGTTGCCTCCTTGAGGTCGGATGGATGGATCTTGGATTGATGTCCTCGTCGTGATGAAGAGTTCATGGTAGTGCGTCTTCAGCATCTCATAGGAGTAGTTTTCTAGTGAGATGTTTCTCAATGACATTGCACTTGTCAGTCTCTCTCTCTCTCTCTCGTTGCACTTGTCAGTCTCTCTCGCTTTGAAAATTGAAAAACTGTGCAATGAGATTATCCCCGAAGGGAAATGCGTCCCGCTGTCTGTCCTGCATTCCTTGGATATACTGTCTGAGGACTGTTGGATCGTCCTCATTGAGCAGGGCTGGAGGCGGTGCTCGAACACCGGCTGCTTGCTGATGTCGAGCAATTGTTCTTGCATTTGCGTCCTGTACGGACTGTCGAAATGATGGGGACTGTGCCGCGAAAACGGGCATCAAGTCCATCCATGCTGCCTTCAATATCACAAGAAGGATTTCGAATTTTGAGGTAAAAATGAGGAACTCTTTTGGTTCTGCCTTCTATGGTTGAAGAAACTGAGGAGCCTGTACAGATACACGTTGGTCGCACCTTTCAAAAAGTACTTCTTCAGCGTGTTCTTGAAATAGTTGACTCCTTCATCAGGATCTTGCAAAAGGTCGTTTTGGAGGACCGCCTTGTACATATATGCATCACCGGTTAATCTGCTTTTGAGCAGAGGTCCTCTCTTGGGTGCTTCCACCGTTGTGATGGTCACTCAGTCGTCCACGAGTTCTTCATACCTGAACCAGCTGACTTTTCCGTCGTACGATGGCGGCTGCTTGGCGGTCATCGGTGAATTTAGTGTTTCCTCCGTATAGCCTGAATTTTTGGCCATACTTGAATAGGCTTCCATGAAGCCTTCTCCATCGGATGACACCCTTCTTGGATCTCTGCGGAAACCCGCTCCGCTACCACAAATTGAGGCCCATTGCCCCAGGTGCCTATCCCCGAAGGGAACTGGTACCCTGTGGTAGTAGAGGTCGTTGTGTTGGTCCCTGGATCTGTTCCGGAGAGAATCCAATATGCCACTGTGGATGATTGGAGGATGGATTGTCCCTGGTGGATTGTCTTGCGGCCTGCTAAGGTTCTTTTACTTCACGCGATCATTTTTACTACGCGATCATGAATGATGCAATGATATACAAAAGGGGCCTTGAGCCAAGTGTTGCGGGAGATCAATTGGTCTGAGAACCAAACACAGGGGGATAGAGGCCGCCCCCCAAACGGATTTCGGCTTTCCTTATGGTTTCCCTTTAAAACCGAAAAAAAAGGGGAGTACCCTCAAAAAGCCCAGGAGTCACCAGATGTTCCCGAATTCTACAGTTGATGAATTCACGGGACCTTATTTTTGATTGCTTCTAGGGGTTGTCAAAGCCAGAAACTGGTTGGTTGTTTCCTCTTAAGCCATCAGCGGGTGACTTTGATCATGGTGAAAGTAATGAGGCCAGATTTACCTTGGTGGCTCCCATCCCCGTAGCCTTTTAGCTTGTTTGTGTTTCGTCGGGGTTTCCATTTCGACTAAAAGTGAGCCACTTTTAGCGGAGGATCGGAAAACGGACAGCTCAGTTACGGGTGGCTTCCATTGAACCGATCGATCTACTTTTGGAGGTTTTTTTTTGGGAAACGGCTCGGCTCGGCTCGGCGCGTTTTGAGGCGCAGGGCTGGGGCGCGGGGCTGGGGGATCCCATGCTGGTAGGTGAATTCACCAAGTATTTTAGGCTTCACTGGGGGTACGATTTGGATTTTGACCCATGGCCATTTGGGCGATTTCAATTGTTGATGTCAGTTTGGTTCACTTGGAAGCGTTTGGTTTCCCAAACCGTCACCCCCACGTGCAAATAGCAACAAACAATGGTGTCAACCATGGTTTCCAAGTGGTGCAGGATTTCGTCCATCCACAGTAGAACTCCGAGGCTTTGTTTTTCAACCAGGCTTTGAAGGTCCGGGGAGCCGTCGGAGAAGGAGGTTGAAGACAAGTCTCGTCTTGCTGGTGCGATAGGCAGGGAATGAGAAATGGAAGGACCCCGGGAAAAAGCAATTCCTGGCGGATTCCTAAAAGGGAATGCCCTTCCGGTTCCTTCGTACCATCAAGTTGTCTCCAGAGGTTTGAAAGAGGTGCTGGAAGCCACCTTTCAGAGCCTGATTTCGCGGATGTCTCTGCCCAAATGGGGCTAGCTCTGGCCTTCTGTGTCATGGTTCGCTGTTTCAACGGGCTCCTTTTCGTTTTTTTCGTCTTCTGCAAGACGCGGTCTGGTTCCAACACATTTTGCCACCAACCTTTGTGTGTACCTGTGATTGCTCCTCTATGAATCCGCCCGAATTCTCGGTGCTTAAGGCTTTGAGACCCATTCGCCCCATTTTGAGACGTGCATCCGACAAGTAGGGCTTCTTAGCCATGGCTCCTAGGACCATTTCTTCAGGGAACCGAAACCTTCACAGTGCCATCGGTTTCCAAGATGTGGGCGTCTCTCCTTGTTTTTTAGCTCAGCCCCCCCCCCAAAAAAAAAAGAAGAAACAATGGCGCAAAAGAGGTGGTCCTTTTGGTGCTCCGTTACCCTCAAAAAACAGAGATGTCTGTGCTGGTGCTGATTGCTTGAGGTTGGTACCGTGTTAAGATCGTGGGATATCAAAGGCGGGGGGGAAACCGCAGTGGGGAGACCATACGGAAGCCAAAAGGAAACCACATACCTGGAGGGAGTCCCCAACTTTCAGAAACATCCAAGAACTGCACTATGACGAGATGTGGTTTGGGGCACAGAAACCTCCACTTCAGTTTACCTGAACGGGTTTTCCTCTAAACATTCGCCGCGTCAGGCGCAGCGACCCAAGGCGCAGGGGGAACCGGCGGGGGGTTCCGTCGATCGATCGGCCCAACAAGGCCCAAGGCCAAGTGAGGCGACTAGGTCCCCCAGCAAGGTTCCCTTTTACCCCTTTTTTGGGGAAGGGTTCCCCTACGAAAATCGACTGCAGAAAAAAGGGACCTAATTGTTCTAACCTCTCTACTGGAGGACCTAGGGTAGGTTTGTTTGTTTCCCGGGCTTGTCAAAGTGAGCAACTGGGGTTGCGTCCAAAAGCAAACTACCGCTTGGGGGGTGACTTTGATGATAGTAAATAATTGAGGCCGGTACTACCTGGTTTCAAAACAAGGGGGATAATATGGTCCATGTAGGCCTTTCTGGCCGTGGAAGTAGAACCCAAAGTATGTTTGGACGCTAATGAGCCTTTTGGCTGGTGCCTGACGACAACCAGAGCCTCCGGTGTAATCCTGGGTTATGATTCTGGCGTAGTGGAACCTGCATGAGGTGTTACGTCCATTGGTTACAACCTGGTTAATTTGGGGGCCTGGTCACAACCAGTCGGATATCCATCAACCAGTGGCTGTTGGGAGAACGCCACGCTGGGACTGGAGAAAGCGGGGCCCACGGGCACCCGTTCTTTTGGCCAGGCCTTGTCTCCCACGGCCTCCGAGATCCCTGCAACCAAGGCGATCCGAGTCCGGCGGGGGGATCTCTCTTTTGGTTTGGACCCAGGTCCCCCGGACTTTTTGCGGCCTACTTTTTGGGGGAGTTCCCATCTTAGCCGAGCTCCGGCACTTTTTTCGGCCCACTCGGCCGGGAAGTACGTTGAGGTGTTCCAAGGAAGGGGCGAACAGCAAACCCTGTGAAAGCGGCTTGACCGAAGCTGAGTTGCCTGAAAGCAGGGCTATCCAGACTGAACGACGCATGCTTGGCCCGGGCAAATCCCTGGTTGTTCTCACACCTCTACGCCCTCTCCTCTGGAGTGCCAACTTGAAGTGAGCGTCCTTTAGGCAACCCATGAACCCACGGAGATTTTTAGATGCGTGGTTCTACCGGGTGTGATTGGGACCATACTAAACTCGTTTGCCCAAAGCAAGTTGACCTTTCAACCTTGTGGCTTGTCTGGCAACCACTTTTGCGGACCCCAACAGGTCATCACCTTGTATTTCCAGGTCGTTTGGGCAGAGTAAAGCCTATATTCGAACCCGAATCACCCATATTAAAACCTATATTAAAACCTATATTAAAACCTATATTCAAAAAACCCCAAAGCATTTGGGCACCTTCCACTGGAGTCAATCTGAATAGGAGCATGTGAAGAAGAGATAGCTGTGACGGCTGTTGCACCGCTGTTTACCACATTAATGTTTTTTTTTCATCGCTGCTCAAAGAAGGGAATCCCCAAAATGTCATGGTCAATGGAACCAAGACGAGAAAAAAGATGAAAAAGGCCACCCGCGGTTTGCCCTGGCTCTTCTTACAATTTGAGCCACGCCTTCAAAACGTGTTTCATCTCACACCGCATTTGGACCTGTGGTGCCCAGGCGCTGGGGGGTTTGAGCGCCGCGCAGGCGGTGTCTCCGGTGGTCTCCGAGACGCAGGCGACGAGGGGTGCGTAGCGGCGTAGCGTTGCCGCAGAGATTCGGGCGGACAAGAGGTGCGGGTTCATTCAATCTGTTTTTTTGGGGGGGTCCGGGAGCTTTTGACCATTTTGCACATGCCAAAAGAAAGGGGGGGTCAAAGGGACCCTTTTTTCACATGCCCATGCAGACCTTTTTGAGCGCCAGGCCCAGGCTGCGAAAACGGAGAAGACAAAATCGGAAAGGTGGGCAGCGATGCCATGGAGATTGCCACCTGAGCCCGGGGTCATGGGAATGGGGTCCCGCGGCTTTGAAGAGCTCCCGCTCAAGCGTGTGCTTCCCATGGGAGCGCTCATTTACACAACTGGAACATCGTGGTGCCGGATTTGCGGCAGAAATCGGACATATGAAGTGGGACTCCACCGCAGCAAGGGACAAGTATTGCTATCTGGCATAAGAATTAAGAATGGATTTTGTTGAAACTACATGTGCCGTGTGATGCCCGGACCAATCCAACTGTGGCCAGATCACCTCCGAACAAAGTCAAGCAGCATCACCGGCATATTTGGGGTTTGGGGTTTGCGGGGAGAGGCGTTTATCTAGCCAATTGTAGAGAGTTAAGTTCAGATTCCGGGCCGCGGCAAAATTCCTAATGCCGACACAAACAGCCCGCAGAAACACTGTTCAGCCAAAACTGCCTGCGGCTCTCCGTGTATGTGCCCTTCGTTTGATTCTGACCATGTTCAACGGCTTCTTTAATTTAGTCATCCACCGACCAAGAATCGAAGCCACTTCTCTGACTCTTGTGAAGTCCACTCAACGACTTTTGTCCTGGTGGTTCCCAGCCATCCGGTTCCTCAGCTTTTTAGCCTTTCAGTGTTTAGTGGGGATTTCCGTATTTATCCCACTAAAAGTTAGCCACTTTTAGCGGGAGATCCCAAAAGTCCGGACAGCCCACTTGTGTCAGCGCAAACCAAGAAGCCGGGAGGATCTCATTTTGCCGCCAGGCTCGAATCCCCCGCAGTCGCCACATTTCGTTCCGTAACTTTAGCAAAGCGCACCTCTTTTTGGATCAGCGATCGACAGATGGGGATTCCTGTCTCAGATTTGGGGAATTTCTGGAACATGGGTGTGGTGTCCTTGTGCTTCCTTTTTCTACTCGGCCAAACTTCCGAGCCTCAAACAAGGCACGCCCGTTTGATGGATATATATGTATATATATATATATATATTTATAAGTTACATACATACATATTATATTTATATATATATCATTCACATTTGTTTAATTTAAGCGTGCATCGGAACAGGGATTTGACCCCGGGTGTCTGAAACGCCACATCCCCACCTCTGCCTTTGCAAAGAAGGCAGGATTTAGGGGCAAAGGGTAGACGCCGTGGCCTCGAAAATCGGGGGGTACCCTCGAAAATCGGCACATTTTCCTATTCGTTCGAGCTCGAGCTCGTCGATAGCTGGCGCTTCAGGCGGTGTCTCCAGTATCTTCCGAGACTCTGAAGGCTTCGGAGGTTTCGTTTTGGCGCGCGACCGAAACACCGCCGTGAGAAGCTCCAAATGGCTGCGGGTCAAGTATAGGTACCCGAAATGGAACTTTGGCAAACGGAAACAAGGACTAAAGCCTGCGGTCCATATCCTGGTGGTTTATTTTTTGACCCATGGCTGTGGGTCAAAACCAATGGTTCCATTTTGGGATAGGTGCACCACCCATTTTAGAACCTATTTTAGTGGGGATTGAATCGGATGTTCACTGGGGGTACGGGATTTTGACCCATGGCCCCACACCCAAGTGTCTGGGTTCCGTGTTCTTTTTCTGGCCCGCTTGGAGGCCAGAGGGCGTGCACTTAGCTGACAGGCGGGAAAATGAGAAATGGAATGACCCCGAGAAAAGCCATCCCCGATTTGGTTTCCTTTCTTCGGGAGGTACCCGGGGCCTGGGTCATTCCCTGGTCGTGGCTAGCTCTCGCACCAGCAAGTTTAGCTTTGCCGCTTCAAATCACCGCTTCATCAGCCGCGTCGCCGCGTCTCTCGCCGAACGATCCCATGCAGGCAGTGGCTCCGGTGTCTCAGCCGGCCAAGGCGCGGCTGAGAGTGAGTCTCTGGGGTTGGGCAAAACCTGGCACAACGAATCGACGCTGGTCCACTCCTTAGTTGCCCAACGCAAATCGACTAGAGTTCATCTTTTTGGTGTTCATCTATTTTGGCAACCAGGTTGTTTTCATCTATTTTGGTTCCCAACTGTGAACAATCATGGCCACAAGAGGCTATATCACCATTTCTTTCTGGGTCTATCCGCGGCAAGTGAGCTGCAGGCCCAACTTTGGACGGGGGGGTTGAGGAAAAAGTCCAGATCTAGAATGCGTTTGTCTCAGTTGCGTATCTCCATAGAATCCTGTTCATCTTGTTTGGAACGGAGGGTCAATCCTATCTTGTGTCTAGTTAATTTCCATAGTTCTTTTTTTGGTGGAAAACCCATGAATCCGGAGACTTTGTTATCTCCATCCAATCTGTCGGCCACCATCCGTTTGCTTGGTTAATCGGATTAGCGGGCGAGTGATAGGCACGATAGATTTGGGGGTGGATACTCAGAGACGCTTTAAGGGGATACTCCATTCATCTGGGCTGTTTTTCCAGCGAGATCGACCTCACACTGAACGCAGGATGCCGCCATACAACAGAAACACGTGTCTAATGGTCAAGTACTCTGTTCACGCAGCTCGTGCGTGAGGTACTGTTTGTCAGCTGGGTAATCAAACCAACACCCTCCCCTGCCCCCATTTTTGGTCCACCGAACAACGCTCACCATGAAGGTAACTGGAGGGCTTCCTCATTTTCGCTTTGTGACCCGTAGAAATTCGCCCAGATGGATTTCCCCTCAAAGGGTTTGAGCATGACCTCCTCGTTGCCAATTTGGGGACTCCTCCGTTAAGGCGGTCACTGTTCAAAGGAACATCGTATGAGTGTATGTGTGTGTGTGTGTGCTTGGTTTCAAAGGGACCAGACCATGCATTGTGAGTACTTCCAAAGGTTTCCCTTCAATGATTATCATGTCGGTTTGAACAAGTTTCTCATGATCGATTTCTGAATTAAAGGGGGTCCCGCTATTTTGCCGACATACTCATTTGGCCGTGTCTCGCAATAGGCGGCTGTGGGTCAGAAATAGGTATCCAAAATAGAATCCTTAGTTCTGACCCATACCCAGGCGATTCCAGAAGGATGGTCCTCCCTCAAAAGTGTTTCCTTTATATTCAGGTTCCGGAAGTTAGAATGCCAGTTTGGGAGCTTCGTAAAGAAACAAACCACGGCAAATTGGATTTTAGACTGTGCGTCCAAACGCTAGAGATAGCATGTGCCATCTATACGACCCAACAAACCCGGATCTCCCATACATAGGCGATTCCAGAAGAATGGTGCTCCCCCAAAAGTTGTTCCTTTACCTCCCTCAAAAGTTTTTCCTTTACGACCCAACCAACCCGAAACCCGCCCAGATCTTTCCTACACCTCGTTGCCTCGACTCGAGGCGTCTCCCGTCACAGAGGTGCCGAAGGCAGGTGACGCCGTGCCGCTGTCCAAGAGCAGCGGTCCCATTTGTAGAGGGGGAAAAGCCTAGACGAGTCCATGGGTGAGGTGGAACCACCAAAAAAGTTGTCCGGACAAGCAAACAAAGGTCAGCCGAACAAGGCCCTATGCCGAAAACAAGTCTGCCAGATATGGCTTGGCGTGTTTTTCGTGGTTTCCACGCAAGGCCCCTGCCCTGGTTTGAGGTGTCGTAGGCCAGGGGCTCTTCCGAGCTATGAACAGATTGCAGTCCCGCAGTGTTTCCTCAGCAGGATCCAGACCTGGAATCCCCAGACCCCCACCCAGAGACATCTTTTTTTGGCTCTGGGTTTACATACATACATACATACATACATTAATTACATACATACATACATACATACACACATACATACATACATACATACATACATACATACATACATGCATATCTGGGTTTATAAGAACTAAACATATAACATCATAAGAAGGAAAGATGTGTAAGCGTGACCCTTCCCGCCTCCCCTCTTGGGCGAGGGGTGGGCGGATTTGGATCGAAGTCCACTCATCGTTGGTTTCGCCAACTCATGGCGGATTCCATGGCGGTCCTGAGCCCACCTGAGCCCTCATGTTTTTCCCCCCTTTTCCCCCCACATCGGCGACTGTTGGGTTTACGGTACCCCAACTTTAGGCCCCCTAAGCACCAAGTTTTCAGGTACCCCTTACTTGGTGGTTTGGGGTGGTTTGGATTGGGATTTGAACGATTTACCTGGTTCTTCTAGAGGGTAAATGGGAAACCACCCCTTAAGCACCAACCACCAATCCAAATCACCAATTAGGGGGAAGCTAAATTGAGACTTTGAAGTTTGGCAGGATGTATGAATCACCCAATGTATAGAACTTTTAGGCAAGAAGGGGACATATCATGTGTTTTTCCGATATGTTATTCTAAAGGAATCCAAGAGGCACATTATTTTGTGTCCCCCTTCAAAACACCATACAGTAGCCATGTTTTCGGGCCCCTGTCCCGCGGGTCTCTGCCAGGCAGTGTCTCCCGTGGCCTCTGAGACAGTTCCGAAGGTGTGGGACGTTTGGATGGTTTGGCGGGAGGCAGCGTGATGGCCCCCTGTATTTGCTTCCAGCTGTAGAGTACGTATATATACATATATATATATAACATACATGTTGATGCATGTATTTGCATACATGCCTGCATCATCAATACATGTACACATTCATGCATGCATACATTTTGTCTGTCCCTAAACGCATAAACTCACCTGGGGTCAAAAAGAGCTTACCATGATGTAAATCCTTACCGGTTGTTAGTTACGCTTTCAGTGGGGAAGGGGGAGGGATGCTTGTGGAACGACAAGGGGCAGCGCAGCTCCTTCTGAGGCAAAAAGGCTAGTCACTAAACATCTGCACAGGCGGGGCTTTCGGTTTTCATGGAGTGAACTACTTCTTGGATTCGTAGACGGAATGCACCACGGAATGCAGTAAGTTCTGACCTCGGGCAGTGAGAAGAGCCCCAGATTTGTGGTGAGCTCACACAATCTATCGGGCATCCTTCGGAAACATAGATGGTGAAGGAAGAGGAAGGAAGCGCAAGCCATTGAATCCCGCAGATTCATCCAAACCGAAACCAGAAACGGCACCTATCGTTCATTGGAACATGAGCCCAGCGAAATGGTGAGGCGAGGCCGGGTCGGTGCTTTCTTGAAACGTCTCTTTTTTGTGTATCAAAGCCAGGGATCCGAGCCAACTGATGCATGCATGCATGCATGCATGCATCCACGCACCCACCCACCTCCGTGAGTACATACAACACACATACACACATACACACATACCAGTACACAAATACACACATACATACGTACGCATACACTTGCATACATATGCATACATATGCTTACATATGCTTACATATACATACATACATACATACGTACGTACGTACGTACGTACGTACTTACGTAAGTACGTACGTACATACATACATACATACATACATACATACATACATACATACATACGTATATATATATATATACACGTACATATACATACATATACATACCTCTACATACATACACATACACATACACATACACATACAGACACACATACATACATACACATACATACACATACATACACACACATACACATACACATACATACACACATACATACATACATACATACATACATACATACATACATACATACATACATACATACATACATACACACACATACACACACATACATGCATGCATGCATACATACATATATACATATATGTATACATATACATACATATACATACATATACATATACATATACATATACATACATATACATACATATACATATACAAATACATATACAAATACATACACATACATACATATACATGCACAAATACATACATGTACATTTACGTACATATACATACATATACATATACATACATATACATACATATACATACATATACATACATATACATACATATATATACATATGCATACGAATACATACATATACATACATACACATACACATACATACTTCTACATAAATCTTCGTACATCTTCATACATAAAATGCATCTACATGCATTCACATACATCTACACAGAAAGACACACAGAAACACACATGCATACACGCATAATAGAAAGATAGATGGACAGTTACATACGCAGTTGCATACAGTTGCATATATGCACACATACATGCACACCTCCAGGCACACCTACGTGCACACATACCTGCGCACGCACATGAAAACATCCATCCATTGATCCATCCATCCACCCACCCACGCATGCATGCACGCATGCATGCATGCATACGTACACACCCACACACACACATACACAAATGCGCACATACACATATATATATATACACATACGCACATACATACATAAATGTATAAACGTATGCTCACATACAGACACATACACACAAATACACAGATATACAAACATACGCACCTATACACGACACCTATACACGCACATATGCATACACACACACATGCACACGCAGGCACACACGCACACGCACACACACACGCAGACACACATAGGCACACACACACACACATTCACACACATGCACACACACACACACATCTACATGCCTACATACGTACACACGTACATACATACGTACATACACACGTATACATACACACACACACGTACATACATACGCACGTACGTACATACGTACGTACGTACGTACCTACGTACATACACACATACACACACATACATGCATGCATACATACATACATACATACATACATACATACATACATACATACATACTCACATACACATAGACACACTGTGGATTGACAACATCCTTCACTGCCCTACGAAACCCTGGAATGATACGGGTCCCTTGTCAGTACCAACAAAAATGGTTTCCCATGGTTTCCACATGGTGCCGGACTTCGCCCATCCACAGTAAGCCTAGCCATGGCCAGAGACATAGACATTTACATAAACATACACATCTACATATACATTCCCAAGCACATTCACATTCACATGCACATATATACACACACACGCATACACGTAGAATAAACATGCACATACAGATACGCGTATGCTTGCGCATACACATACACACATTCTCATACGTTATGCAACACATACACATGCACCTGCCTACTTATCTACCTACCTACATACATGCATGGCATTACGTTCCGCTATGTTACGTTAGGTTACACTACACTAAAGCACACTACGCTACCCTACACTGCACTACACTACTTTGCGTAGCGTTGGCGCAAGCGCTTGCCAGGCAGTGTCCCCGGTGGCCTCTCACGTCCCAAAGGCCCAGATTCTCGGGAGTGAAGGGAAGCGCCGCTCCCTTTGATCCCAGATTACAAAGCCTTTCATGTTGATAGCGGGTGTCCCCCTCCAAATTCTATCCAGCCAATGGTCCTCTATTAAGTTGGTTATACCCATGCTGTGGATGGACGAAATCCACTTCGCACCACCATTCAGAAGCCCTGGAGTGATTCGATTTCCCTGTAAATCGCAACCAAGGGTATGGTTTCAACCATGGTTGCCAAGTGCTGCGAATTGGACTTCGCTTTTCCATGCACAGTATCAGGCAACAGACCTGCGGCAAGGCGAGGTCCTCAAGGTCGCGCTTTGCTCCTGCCATCTTCATCCCCCCAAAAAGGCAAGTTTTTTGGTATGTATCAACGGGGGCTGCGGGTTCTCGTGCTTCTGCTCTTGCAAAGCCCAGTGGTGCGTGGACGGCGTGGACGGTGTGTGTCTTTTCTTTATAAATTCATTTGTGCACATATATACTTGCTTAAATCATGTTGTTGTTATTATTCTCACTATTGTTATGCTTATCATCATTGTTATTAGTATTGTATGTTCTTCTTTTAACGCTAGGAGAGCAACTTATTGCGACCATGTTGCCTCTATAGATCCTGTTTGTCTCGAACAAAGTCCTCTACCCCCCCCTTCTCAGTGTCTAGGCCCCATACTGCCCCGCTTCGCACATCTGGGATCGCCCCTCGTGTTCCTTGCGTTCGAATTCCCGCGGGGTGCGTTACCATCCAACCTTGGCGCAGGCTGTGTCTCCGGTGGCTTCCGAGACCGTCCCAAAGGCTTTCCGGGTTGCGGAAAGCGGAAAGCGGAGCGCATCGGACTTGATGGGTGAGCCCGGATATGGGGCTGCGCCCTCGCGATGGAGACCTTTGTGGATAAACCAAATGGGTTTGCCGGATGTTGGATGCGCCCCGGTGACGGTCTGACCCGGATCTCGCACGTCCTTTCGCCCGCCAGTCGGTGTCTCCGGTGGCTTCTCAGACGCTTCCCAAGGCAAGGACACGCGGTTTGGCTCGGAGTTTCGACACAGAACTGTGTTTTGAGATGGGTATGTCTTTTTTTTGAGGGCAGCCCTTTTCGATGGTTTTACAGGAAAACTACAAGGTGGGGGGGTTCCCCTGTTTTGAGACAATCCCAGGATGTCCGGAGGAGGGAAATCAGATGTTGCTTGAGCTGAAAAGCCAGCAGAGCTAGTATAACCGGCCTGAGTACACGCATGATCACTTTATCATCCTGACTCAATTTGGCTTTGAAGTGCCCTACACTGCGGTTCTAGTTGTTTCGGCCGTTCTATGTGGGTTCTATGCATTCGAATGACCGGAGCGACCACCCAACTTCTTTGGCGCAGGCTGTGTCTCCGGTGGCTTCCGAGACCGTCCCACAGGCGAGGTTGCGGAAAGTGGATCGACGTAACAGATGGGTTTGGCCCGGGTGCATCGGACTTGATAAGTCGTGTGCCCGAAAAGAGGGCTTTGCCCTCGCGTGCATGGCGTCCTTTGAGTAAACTAAACAGGTTTTGCCAGATGTTGGGCACGCCCCCCATGTTTCACTTCAATTGGTCACGGTCTGACCCAGACCTCGGATGTCCTTTCGCACGCCAGTCGGTGTCTCCGGTGGCTTCTCAGACGCTTCCCAAGGCAAGGACACGCGGTTTGGCTCGGAGTTTCGACGGAGAACCGTGCCTCCAGATGGGCATGTTTTTCGTCAGGGTACCTTTTTGGATGGCTTACTGGGAAACCAGAAGGACAGCACACACTTCTTCTTTGTTGATGGGGGGTTCCCCTATTTTGAAGAGTAACCCAGATGGTTTAGCGCACGCCTGGCTGACAACTCAGATGTTGTTTGAGCTGACATCCAGCAGAGCCAGCATAAGCGGCTAGACTACACGCATTAATCGCTGTATCATGATGACTTAATTCGACTTTCAAGTACTCTACACCCCGATTCTACTTCTTTCGGCCCTTATATTTGGCTTTGATATGCATCTTTTCCTCATTGGAACGGTGCCGCTTAGGGTGTCTTCTGTCACCCCGACTTCGTAGCGGCAAACTAAGCCGACCCTGCACCAACCCAATGCTCCGGGCGGATCCGCCGTTTTCGGAGGTGCTTTTCCCCCAAAGCAGAGGGGCTGGGGTCCTATGGGCGTGGCTTGGTTTTCGGGGGTGCTTTTTTTGGGGTTGGCGTTTTTTGGCCAGGCAGTCTCTCCGGCCTCGCCAGTGCCAGTGCTGAAGGCAGGAAAGGGATGGGTATGGTTCAAAAGTTCAAATTTACACCACCTTGGGACTGCAGGTTTGAGTCCTTGTCTCCATTTACCAGGTTCCATTTTGGGTACCTATTTGTGACCCACAGCCAGATGAATTTGGGAACTCGAAATGCTTTTGTCCTACAATAGGGCACTCTTCTGAGCCCTCTTGACAGGGTCAATTGGCAACTATGTTGAAGGAGAAATATGGGTTTGTCTCAAAATAGGGGAACTTCCCCTACCCCTTGAAAAGATAGACACACCCATTTTCCCGGATGGGACATGTGTTTCTCTTTTGACCCCTTCCCACTTTAGGGACTTGTGCGAGGCATATTCGGGTGTTTATTTTTGGGGGTACCCCCTTTCCCCTAAGTAAACCACCCAGTTTAATCTCTCTGGCGGTCGGTGCGTGGAGGGGGGCCTCTATTTGAGGCAAGCCCCGGCCATGACAATGTTGGTTTTCAGCATCACCTTTTGGCCGGCTTTACGCCGGCCAAAAAAAAACATTGAGTACATGGGAGTGTCTTTTGTGTATGTGCCAGTTGAACCTCCCGCGTGTTTCTTACAAAGGTGTTGTGACCATAAGCCAAAAGCGGAGGCTGCCCTTTCTTTGCCCTTAAGGGGCCATTGGTTCTGAGTCTCGGGGCTGAATCAAAAGGGGCGGCTTAGCCTCTTGGACAGTCACAAAGCAACATGCTTCGTCGTTTCTGGGAGGTCCTCTCGCAACTCGAGCGTCTGCGGCGTTTTCAGCCAGACCCCTCCATTGCAGGCGAAATTGCGGCGAAGCACTCACCATGAAAACGCAGTCACGAGCACCCACACACTCGATGATGAGGTTTGTGTTACAGCCGAAACACTCGCAAGGAACGCGCAATCTCCGGCAAGCAGCCGCTGCCATGACAAAGTTTTTTTCCCGAAAGCATCGCGAAGGGTTCTTCCGTGCGGAGCCCTTGGACAAGTTACACAGAGCCAAGTTGCACAGAGCCAAGTTGCACAGAGCCAAGTTGCACAGAGCCAAGTTACATAGAGCCAAGTTACATAGAGCCAAGTTACATAGAGCCAAGTTACATAGAGCCAAGTTACATAGAGCCAAGTTACATAGAGCCAAGTTACATAGAGCCAAGTTACATAGAGCCAAGTTACATAGAGCCAAGTTACATAGAGCCAAGTTACATAGAGCCAAGTTACATAGAGCCAAGTTACATAGAGCCAAGTTACATAGAGCCAAGTTACATAGAGCCAAGTTACATAGAGCCAAGTTACATAGAGCCAAGTTACATAGAGCCAAGTTACATAGAGAGCCAAGTTACATAGAGCCAAGTTACATAGAGCCAAGTTACATAGAGCCAAGTTACATAGAGCCAAGTTACATAGAGCCAAGCTACATAGAGCCAAGTTACATAGAGCCAAGTTACATAGAGCTAAGTTACATAGAGCCAAGTTACATAGAGCCAAGTTGCATAGAGCCAAGTGGCACAGAGCCAAGTGACACAGAGCCAGGTGGCACAGAGCCAAGGTTAGGTAGAGCTCGCGTAGAGCTTCGGCGTCAGCAGTTATGTAAGTTAGTTTAGGTTTCTAAGGCGCCGGGGCGGGAGTTTGATCGTCGCTCGGGATTGCGACCCTCTGCGGAGATTCGCGTGGTCGAGGTCAATAAAACTGAGGACTTTTTACGATTTCTGCGGTGCGCGCGCGACCCTCCGGTGCGCGCGCGACCCTCTGCGGAGATTCGCGTGGTCGAGGTGAAAAAACTGAGGACTTTCTACGATTTTTAACATGCGCGCGCGACCCTCTGCGGAGATTCGCGTGGTCGAGGTTCAAAAACTGAGGACTTTTTACGAGACCCTCTGCGGAGATTCGCGTGGTCGAGGTTCAAAAACTGAGGACTTTTTACGATTTCTGCGGTCCGCGCGCGACCCTCTGCGGAGATCGTGCGCGTCGAAGCGCTCTCGCTGTGGCGCCGTGCGAATTTGTCTTAGTCTCGGCGAACCCTCTGCGGAGATTGTGCGTGTCGAAGCGCTCTCTGCCGCCGTGCAATATTCTTGCTCGCGAAACGGCCTTTGGAAGTTGTCTCGTGGTTTGCGCGCCTGCTTTCGCAATCCCGCGGTCGCGGGTTCGATTCCTCCATGGTCCGCGGCAGCTCCGGCTTGAAAATCGCAGCTTGTAAGTACAAACGTAGTTCGCGGAGCGTGCTCCTGCAGCGATCGCAGCTTGTAAGTACAAACGTAGTACGCGGAGCGTGCTCCTGCAGCGATCGCAACTTTTAAGTACAGACGTAGTATGCGGAGCGTGCTCCCGCAGCTCAAGCTGGAAAATCGCAACTTTTTAGTACAAACGTAGTACGCGGAGCACACCCCCGCAGCTCCGGCTGGAAAATCGCAACTTTTAAGTACAAAATTAGTATGCGAAGTACATTCCCACAGCTCCGGCAGCACTTGCGCAGAGCAACTTGCGCAGAGTCACTTGCGCAGAGCAACTTGCGCAGAGCAACTTGCACAGAGCAATTGCACAATGCACTTGCGCAGAGCAACTTGCACAGACCAACTTGCACAGAGCACATGCGCAAAGCGCTTGCACGGAGCAACTGGCGCAGAGCGCTTGCGCAGAGCAACTTGCTCAGAGCACTTGCGCAGAGCAACTTGCACAGAGCACATGCGCAAAGCGCTTGCACGGAGCAACTGGCGCAGAGCAACTTGCACAGACCAACTTGCACAGAGCACATGCGCAAAGCGCTTGCGCGGAGCAACTGGCGCAGAGCACTTGCGCAGAGCAACTTGCTCAGAGCACTTGCGCAGAGCAACTTGCACAGAGCACTTGCGTGCAGCAGCGTGCAGCAGCTTGCAGAGAGCAACTTGCGCGCAGCAGCCTGGAACAATGCAGCTTGCGCAGACCACTTTCGTGAGAAATCGCGCGGCGCAGTTCGAGAGGAAAGTAGGATGATGAGATGGAGCTCTCATGTGACCATACACACTGAGCATCGCGCAGACACGCTCGCCGCAGCGATGTAAAAAGGTGTCTCCGCGGCTGGATGAGCGCCTGTGGAAAAATGCTTTCGGGCCAATCGTCCTCTAGTTTTTTTTTATCCTGCTCATTTTCCCTCTCGGAGTTCAGATCTAAGATGCTGGCACCATGGGCTTTGTGAACACAACATGCATTTTTGGCGGTGGCCCGCAACTCAGTGGTCACAAACACACGAGTCACGACTGCGATCCAGCGGAATCCAACGATTCCGTGAAAGAACGACGTAGCTGTCGGCAAGCCTAATTTTCCAGCTGTATTAGGCTTGCGTGCAGCTACCTCATTGGTGCAGTGTGGCGGCTTGGTGTTCTTCTTCGCTTGAGTTTTGGGGGCCCAAGCAAAAAGAACCTCCTCTGCCCGAGGTGTTGCTGTTCTTCTTTTCCTCGTTCCAATCCCTTAGTTCAAAGTTTCGGGCCCAAGGGGTTCCTGCCGCCAGTGCACCAGGTCACCAGTAATACACTCAGTACTCCCCAGGTCACCACCATTCTTATGTACTTTTCTCGTGGGGAAATTTCCATTGAGTCCTTGATTAGGTTCATTGGGACCGGGGACCCGCGCCTCCGAAAGTCGCGGTTTGGTTGAACGTACAAGGATCAAGTCTTGAGCCTCAACCAACGGCCGGTGGACCCAGAAAGTGGGACGCTGAAAGTCGGACCTAAAAAAACTGCACCTATGGCTTCCCCACGTCACCGCCGGGCGCCAGGGGCCGCCGGGGCCGCCGCAAGTGCTGAACTTCAGGCGGGATGGAACGGGGGGGGGGTGTTGGGGGTTGGGGGAGCGTGAAGGGGGGGGTGGGGGTGGCATGGGGTGGATGGGTGGGGGGTTGGTGCCGTAGACGCTTTGAGTGTATTTTCCAAGACTGAGAAGCCAGCTCCCTAAATCAAGGTCGAAAGATAGACCTGGCTATCGAAATGATGTATTGTCCTTGTCCTTGAAATGGGTGCACTGTTCTGGGGGAACCTCTCTTGGTCTTTGTAGGTGAACAAAAGATGCCACAAAGAAGCCTCTGCCATTCCTGTTCTTTTTTGGAGGTCTCTGTTTTCAGACAAGCCCGCATGAAAGACACCCTTTGTTTTTTCAGAAGGGGTGCTCCCTGGGATGTAGTGTTGGCGCTGCAAAGCTCAGAACACACTGCGAACACCATGGTTTCGTGCATGTGGCGGTGCTGGCATCTAGGCGAAACTTGTTCCTTTTTTTTTTTGGGGGGGGGGGGGTTCCAGCTCTAGCTCCCTTTGGGCGGATATATCTTTGTCTCAGGTGCCCCAACTTCCAGAAGGACTGCGACGGCACTTACGCCGAGATCTCGGCTTTCGGGGCGAAGGCTCCGATGTTCACCGAGAAGCGTTTAGACGATTTCTGGGGGTTGATTTCTAGGCAACCCCAGAGGTGCGGTTTGGATTGGTTTGGATTTGAAGCCCTGGTTCCTGGGTTGATTACAACCGTTCTTTTCAACCATCGTTCGTTCCAGGAGATCGCCGTTTTCCCGGGTTATTATTCGTCAGGAATTGGACCGCAGGCTTCAGTCCATGTTTCCGTTCCCACACGGCCAACTCACCACATAGGTGGAGGCTGAAAAGTGGAAGTAGGAGGTTGCCAAGGGCCGTCTTGGAGCATGTCAGGGCCGAGTCAGGAGTCCTGACCAGGGCTTTTGGCTTCCCTTTGCAACCAAGGGTAACTCCCCAAAACAGCGTGGGGCGTGTTTTTCCCCCACAATATCACAACTCTGAACGGTGTTTGTGGTACATCTTTCTTTTTTTCCCCGAGCGGAAAAAAACAGAACGGCATACGTTTTCCCACACTTTTCCGAAGCAAGACCTTCCCAACACACGCGCTACGGTTTTCATGAGCTTGTTATAGCTTTCTTATGCGAATCAGTCAGTTTGCTTTACGGCAATATCGTATTCTAGTACTGATTCCACAAGTGATATAAAGGACAAGGAAGGGTTTACAAGGAAGGGGGGGGGGTTACAAGGACAAGTGTTTTTCGTTTTTTGGGGGGTGGGTTCCCGTGTCAAAAGACACACACCGGGACACCAAAAAAGAGCACTTTCTCAACGGCTTGGCCATTGGACAATGTGACAATGCAACCGTTGCAGGTTCAACCGGTGTCCGAAGCTTCAGCTTCGTGGTTTGTGCCTCCCCAGACCTTCCGAGCCTAGCGACGCGGGTGTGACACCCATACATGCCACCCTCCCTCCCACACTCACGGACGCTCACAGGATGGTGTTGGAAGTCTACTTTCCTTTCGGGGACCCCTTTTCTGTCCGCTTCCATGATTGTTGGGAAGAGACTATGGTTCCAGGGGTTGATTCCTTGTCCATTCTTTTCGATCATCGTTCCTTTCGAAAACCCGCCGTTTTCCCTGGGTCTCTGGAGGTTTCTGGAAAGATTCGGGTCCCTAGAAAGAATTTTGAAATGGAAGGTACCCCTAGAATAGTTCTTCTTGACCTCCGCTTTTCCTGGGAGCTAAAACATCTACCCGGAACAGCGCAGCACTGAGGACTTGCTACCAGGCAAGGAGGCCAACGGCCGGCCCGTGTGGAAGAAACGCGGGGGCGACCGGTGGATGTACCTCACCATCGCGCCTCGGCCAAGGCGCTTCGCGATCTGGATATGGCTATGGGTCAGAATGAAACCACTAGGAGGCCGCAGGTTTTAGTCCTTGGTTCCATTTACCAGGTTCCATTTTGGGCACCTATTTTTAACCCACAGCCATATTGGTATTTTCGGGATTCGGAGGCTTTGGGTCTTCCGTTTCGGATGTTTGTTTTCTTGGGGTTTGAATTGGGTTGCCAAGAGTCTCTTGTGACAGGGTGGGGGAGAAAGCAGAAGGATCGCGGGCGGAAACTGGGGCCTGGAGCAGGATGCGAGGAAGGTGATAACAACTGTTCGTGGCAGGCGGGGGGGGGGGGGGTTTGGGGGTTTCGGGGGTTCGGTGGTTTTGCTCGTAAAGGCCGTGAGTCCCCAAGACTCTTGTTGGTCAGGTTTTGCAAGGCGATTGCATTGAGTATTGGTCGCTTTCTCTCCATCCCTAGTACCAAAGTGGGGCTTGAGCGCAAGAATGCCAGCGCAAGTGCTTGTCGCTATAACGTAGGGCTTCCCCCGAAAGTGGCCCAAAGAGGATTCCTCCTTTTGCCTTTAACAGGCGACCGAACTATTGTTGAACGATCTGCCTGGTGTGCCTCTGAGTCAACGTTTGGTACCTTCTTACATCTTTGCCCTCTAGACTGACTTTGTTTTCACTTGCCCTCTGAACTTGTGTGTGTGTGTGTGTTGTTTTTTTCTTCAAAGATTTAGGCATGGCTCCAAAATTCTCGAGCTTACGCAGGGGTTCGTGGGGGGGGGGAAGCGAATCGCATGTTTCAGAGCCAGAGCCATTTGACCAAAGGCCTGTTCTTCAACACAAAGCCCCAGGGGGCAGAAACCGGCTAAGGGCAAAAGGGCAGATGTGGCCACGATGTATGCAGAAAAATACCATTTGTTTTTTTTTGGGGGGGGGTAAAGTCACGAAAGGTAGCCTCGGGGAGGCTTCCTTGAGTTTTTCCTTGCGTTAGCAAGGCTTAGGAAGAAAGGGGGTCTGGGGGGGGGGTCCTCCAACGCAACCCTTGAAATATCAATCCGCACCCCTGAAAATCAACACCCCCCCGTCCCGGGTTCGACTCCTCCCTGGTCCGCCCTCGGGTCTGCGCCTCTGCGTCTCTTGCAAAGCCGCGTGCTGCGCAAAGACGATGCGCGTCTTCGCCACGAAAGATTTGCTGCGCCTACTGCCGTCCTTGGCGTCCTGCGCCACGCCGTGCGTGCTGCCTTGACCCCTGCGCGTGCACACGCGCTCGCTGCCAGCGCCGGCAGGCGCCTTTGCATTTTGCCGGCGTCAGACATCATCCGCGGTGATGACGGCGTGCTGGCGAGGGATCCTTCCTTTGCGCATCGATGTCTTGCTGTGCATAGCCTCAGCGCTACCAAAAACTTGCCCGGCTTCCTCTTCCTTTGGCTCGGCTGCGAGCTGCTTCTGGAAGAGAAGCTTTGTGACGACCTGGGGCTCGTCCGTGGCTGCCGCGTCACGCTTGTCGATATCATCCCAAGCGAAGGGCAAGTCCTCGGATCGCATGATCCATCCCTGTCGCCATTTGTGCTAGCATCTTGCCCCGCTGGCTTGGTTGTGCGCGTGCCTGGCGCAACATGGATCAAAGACCCTACGTTGGGGCCCGGTGCGTTCTTCATCAGCCCCAGAACAAGGTCGTGGCGCTTCGGCCCCGGACCTAACGAAACAGACTTCCAGCCTGCAACTGTTGCACGCACGCAGCTCCCCTTCACGAATTGCGTTGCATTCACTGCGTACGGGCTTCAAGGCGCCACCGTGCCAGGCCTGATAGCCGACCTCGCCGCGCCGCCAAAGATGCCGCGGGAAGAATTTTGGATGGCCCTGTATGTCCTCCTCAGTCGAGTCACTCACTTGGATCACTTATTGCTCTTTAGGCTGCCTTCTCCAGCGCAGTGCAGCGGCGGGCCACCTGCCAGTGTCCAAGCCGAAATTTCACGCTTGCACGCCATCCAAGAAGCCACGCTACGTGGTCTTGCCGAAGACACACGTGCGCGGGGCCTTCACGCCCTCTATGAGTCTGTCGTGCAGCCACTATTGCCCCAGCGCGCGTGAAAAACAGCCAAAAATCAAATTCAGCACTCATGCCGGCGGCTTCAGCCCTCGGCACTCTAATTTCGAGCCCTGCGTTCGCACAAGTGGTTCAGCCACAACTGCACTTCTTTCTGCCCTGCGCTTCGCCTGGCCGCACAGCCGCAGGGGTCGAGCCGTGCCGATCCATGCTGGTTGCGCAGAAGCCGCGCGACAACTCGGTGCCAGACTTTCAACCGAACCCTGCTCTGCCCGTGATGCATCCGGATACTGCCACATGTGTGCACCTGTGTGCTGTCTGCCACATCCGTGAACAACGCTGCGAACCAACAAAAGGCGCGCCGATGTCGCTTGTGCGCTCCGTCCCTGCAACCCTTTCATTTTCAACCGAAAAGCCCGCATACATCCCATATGACACAACTTTCTCTCATTTTCCCTCTTGTCCTTCGACTTCCACAAAACCCGTGTCACCAATACGTGTCCACTCCGCTCTTGGCACCCCCATCAGCCACTGCCCCGCACCCCCCCGCTACCTTTCGTGTCTCCTTCTCAAGTATACATATATATATATATATGTATGTAGATGTGCGTAAAAGGAGTATACCTCTTTTTTTCGCGGGAGTCGTGCTTCGCTCTAGTGAAAGAGTGGCATCCTTTGCACAGCACCTGAGGACAAGAATTGGGGCGTGGGCGGAAAGAGCGAATTCGACAAGGACTTCAACTGCAAGAACAGCCCGGCCCCCGGTGCATGAAGCGGTGGCAAGCCTGGTGTGCAACATCGAAAGTTGGGGTCACCAAAAAATGTCGAAGCCATTCGGATCAACGCATTGTTTGAGTATAGTTTCTTATTATTAGTATGATGATGATTATTATTATTATGATTATTATTATGATTATTATTATTATGATTATTCTGAGCTATCCTTCATGTGTGGGTGGATTTCTCGAGCGTGCTCTTTTTGGTGGTTTTAATGGACCAAAAGTGTGTGTAAGAGCCCTTCGGAGCCTCCGATCGGAGTTCTGCGAGGCATGTGTTTTGGTTCATGTCAGCCCTGCCGAAGTTTTCGGCCTTCTCTCTCTGGGCAAGCGGGAAGGCGAGGGGACCATTTTCAGACAGAGGCGCGGACGCGGGTGAACGTACCCACGTGTTCCGACTCCGTTTGAATATTTCTGTACAAGACCCTTGTTCGTTTTGTAGGACCTTAAAACACACAAATCCCGAACGAACTGACCTGACCCATGAAATTTTTGGCAGTTCCGACTCCGCTAAAACGAACATATTTCTGTATAAGACGTTGGATGCGCGGCAGCAACGGTCCTGCGAGTGGTAAGGCTCTGGGGGCTCCAAGGTCGCGTTGAGCCCTGGGGGGAAAGGATTCCAAGCAGGGTTGTGGGATCACTCGGGGTTTTTCCAACCACTTCTGTGATACCTTTGGGAATCTCCCCCTTTATATGTGTGAAACATGCCATCATGACATGGATTGGATCATCCGCTGCCACCAGGGCCCTTGAGCCGCTCGCCGGCTAGGACAAAACATAGAGTGCTCCCGCGCTCGATCATGGTAGCGGAGCAGGTGTGATCTGCTCATTGGGTGGTGCAATCAGTGCACTTTGAGCCGTGCAATCAGTGCACCGAGACCTCGGGTCTCGAAGACCGGCGCTGCCGGTAAGGTGAACATCAAGATCACCAACCTCTGGTGGTGGCCATTTTGGCCACGTGTGGGTGGCCTGGCATTGCAGTTTGCCAGGCATGGACAACCGCGATCCCTTCAAGGACCTGACGTTTGATGGTCGCCCTGCAGGTTACCGTGACTTCAGGCGGAAGGTCATCCTTGGGGTCGCAGGTTTGGAAGACAAGGTTCAGCACCTTGCTGGGCCGCGCCTGCTTCAGCGACTGTCTGGCGAAGCATGGAGGGCCACGGAGCATCTCTCCATCTCCCAGATTCGCGAAGATGGTGGGTGGCTCAAAGTCTTGGAGGCTTTGGATGCCCACTACAAGTTTCTCCCGGAAACCGAGCTTCACGCGGCCATCGACGAGTTTCTCTTCTTGTTGAAACGCCGAGCTAACGAAGGAGCCACCGCATTCACATCCAGGTTCCGGACTCAGCTGGCACGTGTGGAATCCCTCATCACGCAGGAGAGAGCTCTGGCGCGCAAGCGCAAAAGGCAGCGCACTGGCAAGGAGCCAACTGATGATTCCAGTGTGGATGTGAGTGATGGATCACAACCTGGAGATCCACCACGTCCTCCCTCGCATGTTCCGTCCTTTCCGTCAAGGACGCCAACAGTGGTACAGGACACCGGAGATGCTCCTCGCGATCCCGGTGCAGCTGCATCCTCTCGAGAAAGAACTCCGAGCCCACATGATGAAGAAGCCAAGCCTCCGAGCATCACTTCATCAAGGCGAAGGGCACGAGAATCTGATCCGGATAAGAAGCAACTGTCAGCCGGAACCTATGCCGAAGACCACGCACGCGCTCAGCGGAAGATGCAACGTCTCCTTGGGACTCTTGAAGAAGGTCACTTGAAGGCCAAGCCAATCTTTCCGCAGAGTGTTTTGGGGCATCAACCCGTGGCAGTTCCAGATTTGATGATGTGCAGAAGATCATGCGAGCAAGCGATTTTGATGATCGCCGGGATGATCGCAAGCCCGACCGTGATCCTCATCGAGCACGCCGTCATCATGCTTTGGTAGTTGATGGATCTGGCAGTTCGGATCAATCAAGCTCTGAAGTATCTATGGATGTCAATATGGTTTCCGAAGATGAGTCAGCCTGAGTCAGCTGCAACGAACTCCGAACTGGAAGAAATATATGCAGTGCAGCGGCAAGCGAAAAAGGATTTCAAGCGTTCCTTCAAAACATACAAGGAATCACGCCCGTTGTTGCACTCCAGGACCAACATGATGGTCAGCCAGACGGTGGACAAGCCTCTGCGCCGCTCAAGCCGACCTTCAAGTACGATCGGAAGCACAGCAAGCCTTCTGGGTACAAGCCTCGTGACCGAGATAAGAAACCTCCACGCCGCCGTGAGGATGCTCACCTTGCACAAGCAACAGTGCTGTCAGAGTTTTCTTATATGGTGGAGAGCCCGACCGAGGACCTCATTGTGCCTGTAGTTGATGTGATGCTTGCACATGGTGAAGCAATTCTGGATACAGGGTGCACAACGTCCGTGGTTGGCACCAACACGGCAGCCAAGTATGCCGAGCTCATGACCAAGAGAGGCATCCCGCCTCCTGAGCCGGTTGAGCTTCCTCCTGTGGAGCTCCGTGGATTCGATGGTAAGTTGTGGGGCAACGTCACCACATACACAATTCCGGGTGACACGCCTTTCCTGCTGTCACGCAGAGTGCTCGAAGGCATGAAAGCCTCGATCGACCTCGGAAACATGACCATCACCAGCGAGAAGCACGGAATGCATCAGGAACCTCTGCGACAGGCCACCAATGGCCATCTGCTGCTTCCTCTCTGTGACGTGCATGTAGTATCAGTCAATCAGAAGTTGGTCGACCCGGAGCCAGCAGCCTCCGAGTGTGTCCGGGAAGGTGAGTCCAACACTGGACGTGATGTGACTTCCCAGCCAGGCAAACCGCGCTCTCCGTCAAGGCGCGAAACTGCCCAAAAGCCATCAACCAGTGATCGGAGACGAGCTCTCCAGCACATTGCTAAAAACACTAAAAGTGGCACCGTGCAAGTTGATGTGCATCGTGATGAACTTGCAACCTTGTATGGTAAATCCCTGGCCAATAATATCACTCATGCCTTTGTTGCATATAACCCTAGGTTAGAGAGGATACCTTCAGAAGCCAGAGATAATGCTGTCAAAAGGTCAGTTGCAAGCCTCAATACTCCATGTGTCGCCTTGGACCGAACGCCCCGCAGGTGCTCGACGTGCTGAGTGTGAACGGTCTCAGCTCGCTCTGTTCGTGTTTCAAGCTGTGTCGTCAAGGGATTCATGTTCAGAGGGCGAAGCTGCTGTGGCCATGTGTAATGATCATTCTTCAAGTGAAATATCTAGTGAAACTGTAGGTGAAGATTGTAACTTGGCTGTCCAGGCACAGGATCATTCCAAGGTCTCATCAGGTCCCTCACTTGAGAGTTTGTATGAAGATCACGATTGGTCCACGGTAGACTTCAAGCCCGGCCGATGAATCCATTCTGGCTATCCAGTGTGCCACGCATAAGCTTAGATGTGTGCATCTGCAGCTTGCCCGAAGATGAGCGTACATCCGTGCTCCAGGATCTCAGACTATGGTTAGGCCACGTATGATAGAGGTGTTCAGAGGTAAGGCCAACTTGTCAAGGGTAATGGAAGCCCAGTCAGGCATGCCGTGCATTCGCCTAGGCCTGGAATACGGTCAGGATTTTACCAAGCCCCGTGATAGGCAGCTCTTCATCCAGTTGCTTGCTGTAGTGAAACCCAAGCACGTTTGGTACTCATGGCCATGCAAGTGTTGGGGTCCTTGGTCCAGGCTTAACGCAGCCAAAACAGCAAGCATGGAGGAGAATATCCGCCTCGAGCGTCAGGTTGTGCGTTCTTCTGTTGCCGCGGAGACCCTCGCTAGTCAGAATGGTCTGGATGCCATTGAGACGTTTCAGGCCCTCCTGGCCGAAGTCCTGCATGGTACCTCACCACGTGCTTTCCGAGACCAGAAGCCAAAACAGGCTGCTGCCATTGTCGTGGACTCCAAGGGATTCTATGATGCAGTTACCAGATCCTGCTGCAGTCAGGCCGTTTCAGTTGAGCGTCGCCTTATGATAGATTATGCAATCGCACGAGAGACCATGTCAAATCAGAATGTTGTTCCTTTCTGGGTGAATAACTTGGTCATGTGTGCTGATGCATTGACTAAACTCAAAGGTGAAAAAGAGATGCTTAGAAACTTGATCAGCAGTGGAAAATATTGCATCAAGAAGTGTAAGGAGTCGGGTCGAAAGGAGAAGGCTCGACAAGAGGCCCAGAATTAAAATTGTTTTCCTTGCATCCGAAGTTCAATTGCCGTACGGTAGTGCAATTGTGTGGGAAGCGCACCCTGCGCTTGTGTATATCGTGTTGATATTTGTATAGCACCATCAGGCTATCTCATTGTGTACTCCGTGAGCCAATTCGCTCTCTGTGCCCTTGATGCTTGATAGTGATTTCCATTTTGTGTAGTGCCATGTCTGCCAGTGATGCTCCCCGAGCAAAGATGGTCAAGGGTTATGTGCATGACCACTCCATCCAGCCGCTCACGTCGGCCGAGTTGAAGACCACTGCCGGGCTTCTCACACGTGCTGTGAAGTTCCATCAGTGTGCCCAGCTTGTGGAGGCATGCAATGACCTTGGCTGTGAGGTTACCTTCTCGAGTGGCTCATGGCCGACATCGAACCCGTCTGGCATGAGCGATGCCTCAAAGCGCCTCCGCGACCCAGTACTCACCAGTGTGCCCGCTGATGAAGACAGCTTTGAGTTGGCCGACTTCCCGGACGAACCGCAGCCGTCCAGTAGCAAGTCGATCGCGCCAAACGAATAGGATCCATGGGTGAATGCCAGCCGTCCCCTGCCTGAGGGAGTGAAGAGCTCAGCCCAGTGGGGCCGCACGCTTGTCACCATGCCGAAGTATGCCTCTCGCAAGTTCAACTACAAGGACATCATCGAGGCTGCTCAGACAGATCCTGAGGTCAGCAAGTACCTTGCTTGGATCAAGAACACGTACAAGAAGAAGGGTAGCACCCAGGCATTCGACTTGGCAGAGTACCTTAGGTTTACCTCGTGGGAGCCTGAACCACAGGGCACCTTTCCGAGGACCTTTAAGTAAGCTGGTGGCGGCAATCTGATCGAGGGCGTGTGAAACATGCCATCATGACATGGATTGGATCATCCGCTGCCACCAGGGCCCTTGAGCCGCTCGCCGGCTAGGACAAAACATAGAGTGCTCCCGCGCTCGATCAATATGGGGGGTTAGTCTTTGATAAGCCCTTTCTGTTGTATCACAGAAGTGGTCATTTCCCACAACCCTGATTCCAAGCGCTTACAAGGGACCCCAAGTCAGAACTGGGGTTTATTACTGAGGAGGTCAACATGAGTGGGTACACCTGTCCTTAGGCAAGTGATGTGTGATTGTGCAATGTTCTTGTTTGCCCATTTCTTGTGCATCCTTCTATGGCTATCATCTTTAGTAGGGAACCTTGTCGCAGGAGGTTGGCGAACAAGAATCCGCACCTAAATGATGTTCACCAGGGATCAAGGGGTTTTACCTTCGTGCATCTCCACAGAAGTGGTCATTTCCGACAGCCCTAACGTTTATGAACGGGTTTTGAATTACTTGCTGGTGCTCAGCCGGGAATGAGGGAATGAACCAGGGTATTCCCGTAGAGGAAATGATTTACGGGATGGCTTTGTCTAAGGTCAACTTTCGCGCATTTTGCCCAGGGCTGTTAGGACTGAATCACTTTTTGATCCAACTAATGGGTTTTCCGTATTAAACCACTAAAAGTTAAAACTTTTGGCAGGGCTTCGCAGATTTCGCAACCGAGATTTGGAGAGGCCCAAAGTTTTAACCCTCCAGTGGCCACCCCACCAGCAAACTGCAAACTTTTGAAGGGGAACTCCAGTGACCTGGGCTTGGATCTTTAACCTTTCAACCAGTAGCTACCGTATGTTTTGTTTCGGGTTCCACTTGAGCGGGATGTGATGCGCCGGATTTGCTTCCGGCGGTTTTTTTGGCGCTGCGGTCACTTTCACCGGCTGCACTTCCCCTTCCGTTTCCTCGTGGTCTTTCGCTGGTCCAAGCGGCCCGGGGTGTCCATAGTTCACCCACTCTGTGCGCAGGTTTCTCCCACCTTTTCGCAGATCGGAAAAGAAAACACGCCCAACACTCACCCCCCCCCCCGCTCCTTCGGCGCCCCCGAACATTTTTCGGGCTCGGATGGCTCGGATGGCTCGGATGGCTGGGGCTTCGCTGCTTCGCTGACGCGTCAGGCTACGTCTTCCACCCCCGGACCTTGGGCGCCCCGAGCCCGGAGCTTCTGCCCAAAGGCTGGCAGCTCTTCGATGGCCAGGCGCGGCGCTCGGCGCGGCGCTGGGCGCGGGGCTTGGGGCCACCGGTGCGGGGCTTGAGGGCGGTTTGGAAGTTTCGGGGGTTTGGGAAACTCCAGGCGCAAGTTGGCGGGGATCCAAAGAATCCGGATTTTTCAGGTTTTGCACATATTGTAAACCATAATTTGTTTTGCAGACATGGGGGGGGGGCTGGCTTGTCGGTGGGAGAAACCCGATTTGTTGAAAGGGACATTGGAGGAACACCAAAATAATTGTTTTTTGTTTGTTTGTTTGATGTTTGTTTTTTTTGTTTGTTTGTTTTATATAGTAACACGAACATTGGTCCCATACGATGTTGGAGCAGCGGTCAAGGGTTAGGGGGACAGCTTGGGTTAAACAAGTACGCCCGCTACAGAGTGCGGTTTGCAGTTGGCAGTTCGCAACGTGCCTCACTTGTTCAGGATGGTGCTTCAGGAATATTCGTGCCTCATTCTCGGGCTTTTCTGAGATGGAACCAAGTCTCTCCCTTGAAGACTTCCAGCCGATGTTCGGCCGATTTTCGGCTGATTCACTGGCCCAGGGAAGGAAGGAATTTCTGGGGTGCATGTGGCTCCAGGCGTGGCGGGAGGATGCGGACGTGCAGGCCACCGCGGAAGGCGAGTGCGGCGAGGGATGGTCGGGCGGCGAGGGATGGCCGGTGGCGGGGTTGGGAATGGAAGTGGCTTACGGTGGGTGTGGGGGTTTGCTGAGCAAGGCGATCGCCCGATGTTTCATCCCTTATCTTTCTGGCTCTAGAAAGATTGTCTCGATGTTCTTGTGAATTGAGGTACACATGTGATTGTATTTGGGTGTGCTGTGGCTCACAATTTGAAAGCCAGGGTTACGCAGGCTTTAGTCCCTGGTTCCATTTACCAAGGTGCCATTTTGGGTTCCACTTGTTTGAGTCACCGCCACTTAAAGGGGCAACCTCCCAACGTGTGACCTCCCGGCGAGTTTTTCTCGCCTGGTCCAAGGGAAGGGTCTCAAACAAAACATCCGGACGTGGGCCACGCGGGCTGCAGATTTTTTGGCGTCTTGTTTCCATTCCCAGACGCATCTTTGGGGCCAGACCCACAGCCGAATGAAGAACACCGAGACAAACAAGACAAGATAATATTTGCCCCACTGGGTACCGGACAACAAAACAGACGCACAGACGAGCATAGGTGTCCTTTTTGGTTGTTTTGCTGGAAAAATAGATGGCGATTCCTGGTTTACCTGGTGGTTGAATCATCTACCAGGGAAACCCATCTATTTCCCCTAAAAGGACACCTATGCCACTGGGTTTGTCTCAGATTCAGACTTCCCTCCCGCCCCAAAATGGTTGGTGTCAAGTGGCAGGCTCCGCGACTGGCGGGCAGGCGCGGCCAGTGTATTGTACATGACATGCACATACGTACACATATATGTATATACGTATTTTTGTATATATGTATGTATATATAGGTATAGGCATATATATATATATATGCATTATGTGTAAGAATTAACCACTCCAGTGGACATGGGCGATAGTGCTAAGATGGGCTGGGTCTATTTCAAAAAAACAGCAAACAAACAAACAGCCGCCCTCGGAGATGGGACTCCATAGAGGCCTCAAGGTAGACAGCTTGGGGGCCATGGTAGGCTTGTGAAGTATAAGGATGTCACACCCTGGGTGTGAGGTGACGTCACCCACGTTCTTGTGGGTCCAATATATTTTGGGTTGGGGAGTGAGTATAATTTGTTATAGACAACGAACCCCTTGTTCAGGGACGAACAAAACAGACCCAGTTGGTGATTCGTGCTCTCACCCACTCTGATACCCCCAATCAGCCAACTGTGTGGAAGGCAAGCGGGAGTCAGTTCGCCTGTATGGCCTTTTCGGCATCGTGCCGGACTTGCTTGTGAGCAGATCCCCTCCGAACATAGTAAGTTGGCGGATGAGGTTGACACCAAGGAACGCTTGAAGCTTCTTCGGGTTTTGGGTGCGGAAGAAAAAACGGCTCTTCTATTTGATGTCACCTTTGCAATGGCCGGCGGCAGGTCCCGCCGCAGCAAAAGGCTCCTCCGGCGCAGCCGCCGCAGCCCACTGCATTGCAGGCTGTGTCCTTCTTTTCTGGGCGTGGGCTTGGAGCAAATGATCAGGTATATAACTCTTGGTTGGTGGTTTGGAAGCCCTGGTTCTTGTAGAGGGTAGATGGGCAACCACCCCTAAGCACCAAACCACCGATTCGGCTCCAAACCACCAAAACAAACGTGGGAAGTTGAACATTTCCTTCCCTTTTGTAGGCGTGTGTTTTAAAGAGGACGCTTTCCTGTGCGAAGAGCCGGGTGTGGGCGCGGGCTCATTTTGAAGGTTGCCACTCGACAGTCAAACGACCTGGGACATGGTCGTTGGTCAATTCTTGTGCATTGGCGGATGATTTTTTCGGGCTTTGGGAACAGACATTTGGGGGATTTGGTTGTAGCTTGTCCATTTGCTCCGTTCTGCTGCTCACCTTGAGACAAGCGCTTGGAGCCTTACAGGTTGTGAGAATTGCTCTTGAACCTCACGGGATTCCCATTTAAATTTAGGGTTCCTGAAGAACTATTTCCTTAGGGCAGACGAAACATGAAACACGCCAGAACATATTGGGCCAAGTTCCGCTTCGGAAAGGGAACCATGACTCACTTCCTGAGTTTCTTGGAAAGACCACTTTAGCGCTAAGTAAAAAGTTCGGGCTTTTTTTCGGGCCATCCACTCGGGAAGTGGAGTAAACATGTTGTCTTGCATCTGCGGGTGTCGAGGTGCATGTAGAATCCGCTCGGGAAGTGAGATGACCATGGGTCATAATTCACCAGCGGTTTTGACTCACAGCCAGATGACCATCCACTTCGGAAGAAAGAAAGAAAGCGAGGGCCTGGCTGGCCTGAGCAGCGGAACGCCCTCCGCACGCTCCCACCAGGCGAGGGATCGCTGCAAGGCTTTTTCTTTTTTTACAAGGCACCCCTTTTCTTGTGGCTTTACAAAAAACACCCAAAGGAACAAGCAACACCCGTTTGGGGTGTGTAATCCCTCATTGGTGGTTGGGATTGGTTTGGATTTGACCCCCGGTTCTTGTCCAACCATTCTTTTCAACCATCGTTCAGGTAACCAGAAGTTCAGGTAACCCAATTTGAAGGGAGCGCCGGACTTGGAGTTGGTATCCAAATTTGCTTTTCAAAGCAGGCTTTTGGACAGGGCTCCTTAAAAGATACATTGTGCCCAATTGAAACATGGCTTTTTCAGGGGACACCGCCATTTACAAGGCAATGTTCAGGTGTATAATGTAAGGATCCCTGTTGGAGCTGGCGATGGGGGTGCGAGGACTTGGATTGGATTTGGATTGGAGGCCCTGGCTCTGGTCGACGAGAATGTGGGACGTCCGCCTTTTGGAACACCTCCAAACCACTCCAAGTCACCTTGAAGATTGCACCAAATCTGCCTCTGCCGGCAACCGAGACTGGCCCATACATCTATCTTTGCAGCACAAAAGTTATCCACCAAGCAGTGTTCTTTTTTGTGCAAAGCCCGCCTAAATCACAAGACAAATCAAGAACCGGCAAGCTGTGAAGTTTCCATTCGGCCTGGCGCCCTTCTCAGATTTCAGGGTGCACAGCCCGGGTAAGTGAAGGTTGGTTAGGGCCGACCAGGAATCTGTGCGGCAAGCCCTTGTAATTCTTCACATGAATTTGGGTAGTTGTTTTTATTATTACCAGGTTTTGATTGTGGCTCAGTTGATGTTTGTGCCCAACCCCTGGAAAACCACAGTTTTGGCTGGAAGCAACACCTAGCCCGCTGCAAGCAAAGCGCAAGAGAAGAACAACAGGTGCCTTGAGCTGTACGCCCCACCTGGGGGCCCCCCGGTTGCCCGCGCGCATTGCGTTTCTCAGACGCCTGCTGCTCCGTCGTCCTCCAGGACGCAGGCGGGTTCCGGGCAGTTCTGGGGTGGGGAAAAGGTGGGGATCCCAGTTTTGCTCTCCGTTTGGGGGTTCTTTTTTTTTTTATTTTAGGGAAGCCCTTTTTGGTCGGTACTCGCCCATTTTGGGGGGGTCCACATTATTCAGACACCCATGTGGGTGTGGGCCAAAACAAAAGCACCAGGGCATGGACTGCAGGTTTCCGAGTCTCCATTTACCGGGCGACGCATTTTGGAGTTTCCCCCGATTTTTTACACGAATCGTCAAATTTGAATTCTGAAGCTGGCCGGCCCGAAGCCTGAGTTGATCCACTCGCCAGATCCAGTGAGGCTCATTGCGTGAGGGCCAAGGGCCTGGTGAAATATGGCCACCTGGAGTCTCTTTGAACAGGGCGGAAAGGATAGGTTTTGGCATGACTGTTTACCTGTAACAGGCTTTGGAGATCCGGATCTCCTGGTGAAACGAGTGATTTTGGGCTGTATCTTTTGAAAGGAGAACCCTGTTTGGGGTGGTGTTGCATAGAAACTAACACCCAAGAAACGGTTCTGAAGCGGGGAAGCTCAAAAAAACGGGCAACCAACCATGTAAGCATGGAAGCCAACACCCGCTGTAACCAAGCGGAAGAGAGATCCGGGAAAGAGAAGCTGAACGGCTGCTCGCAGTTGTAGGATCCTAGCTTGGACATGTAGCCCAGGGGGGAAGAGAGAAGGCACAGCGCTTTTTGGGAACGTGCCTTTTGTCGACACAAAGAAAAGAAGTCAGTACCATGAATGTAACATGAATCTCCCGCGGTACAAAGGAACCTGTGTAGGCAACAAAGGCAAAAGCCAGGAGCAGTAAGAACTAGCAGGTGGAAGCTAATTGCAGACAGCACAGAATGAGCACGCAGCAATGGGAAGCGGTGCAGTGATACAGCCATAGAGAAAGACAGAGAGAGAGAGAGAGAGAGAGAGAGATATGGGGGAGAGATGCAGACGCATCTACATAGAAGCAGCTACACGCATAGACATACACCGACCATGTCACAGGCAGTGCTCTTGGCGTGACTCGACGACCTTTGAGCGGGTGCCGGAACAAAGCAGCGGGCCGGCAGTCGTGCGCAGAAACGGTACGCTAGCCACAAAAAAATGCGGTCGTTAGCTTTGGTGGCGCGTCTCCCCCCTGGACCAAGACTACTGAATACAATACTTTGGTAGTGAAAATAAGAATAACAGAAAAGGGGCCAGTTCTGGGTAGACATTTGGACAACCGATCGGTGTTGATGACGCAGGTGGATGGTGCCGCGCTCGCGGACTCCATCTTGGGAGCCCGGGCTCGAGCGACTGCCTCAGCTGGGGGGGGTCCCTACATTCCCCCGGTGCTTGGCTTCAAATGCAGACCCAACAAGGGAAACCAACCTATTTGGACATCAACCATATCGAACACCAACCATTTGGGGGGCTCTATTCCCAGTCTGATTGCACACTTTGTTTGAACGGGAACTTGTCGAACCAAAGGATTCTTGCTGGTACCCCCTTTTTTACAGCGCCACCAAGGGGGCGGCATCATCCAAAGGGAAAGGCCGTCTCTTTGCCACCCTGGCCGCCTCGAACCTCGAACCAATGAGCGGCACAGGCCTTTTGGAGCTACCGATCGGAGTTCTTCCTAGGGACATCGTAGTTGATTCCTTTTTGTTCGTTGGAATTCATTCCAATTTCCAAAAGAAGGGTCAAGGGAGAAGTGTCCCACGCACTGTGCCGGCCACTGGTTTTGTTCCCCTATATTCTCGCGAGATGTTGGGAAGAGGCACCCTGCCTGAAAAACACGTCCCATGCCTGCACTTCTTTTCTTGAAACTCCTGCCCCAGTGGCCTCCTGGCCCCCCGCCCGTGTTGGTGAGACACCCAGCCCCATTCCTGGACGTCAGTAAATGACGTTCCCTTTTTGAGGTTGGGAATTGGGAAACCAAGCTTTGGCAGTCTGAAGTGCCGGCTTGTTCGGTGGCCAGTGCACTTGTGAAGGAAACAGCAAAGTATTCCATTGAAACATGTTTTGCCCTTTCGCCCTTTTGGGCTTGCTGCTGTTGTTGCGTGTTGGGTTGACAGTTCATAGATTGTTGCTTATTGGTTGCTAGCTGTCGTGATGGATATTTGGTTGCTGGATGTTCGGCTGTGGCAAACCTGTTTGCTGTCCCCGACAGTTGCGTGCCGAAAGTTGAGCATGTCACATTGGGGGGCACGCCATCGCTTGAAGAGAGTTGCCTCAAGAACTCTCAAACGATTGATCAAATCACGTTTATCTTGAAATGGCTCAAATTCGGGGTTGATCGAATTCAGTGAGTCTTGAAGTGGTTCAACTTCGGCGGATTGAGGCCACGGATGGGGACAACTCCTGGGACGAAGGCAACATGGGGGGAGGCCTATGATGGTGGGTTTCCTTTGATTTCAAGTATAGCCATCCCAAGAGGTGGGAAAGATGGGGTGGTGTGTTTTTGTGTTGGGTTGTTTGTCGTTGCTGAGGCTTGGTGAACCTGTCGTTGATAAAGTGGGGCGACCACAAGTTGCTATACTGCGCAACAGATAAAGACATGTTGAAAGTTGGTCCATGCCTCTGAATTTTCCGTTCGGCACAAACAGACCAAAAGCGCTGTTGGATGGGGCCCGGAACCCCATGGAGAAGACCTGAGTGACCCCTTCAACCTGGGTTCCACCTTTTTCTGCACCCTTTATTCAGCTTCGGTGGTTTGGAGCTGAATCGCTGGTTTGGTGGTTAAGGTTAAGGAGAGGTTTCCCACTTACCCGCAAGAACCAGGGCACCAGCAGTCCAAGCCGCCAATTGGGGTACCTGACTTTGGGCTAGAGTGCCTGTTGAGTTGGCACTTCAATCACTTTTGGTTGGCAGGGTTCTTCATCAGCATGGTCAAGCTTCGGATAGTTGTTTTGCGCTTTTTCTGGCCTGTCCAGCTTCGTTGATCAACATCTAAACCCTAGAGCCCTCTCGTCATTTTGCAAAGAAGAGACCCATCCCACCGGATGCTTGGATTCACAGTGCCCACTTCGATTTGGACATTCCAAAAGTCCAGCAACTAAAGGCAATGCCGAGGCAGCTATTTATGGCTTCCCCATTTTCTGGCCATAGCTTGGCAAGGCCAAGTCCAGCCAAAGCCTTTGCCTTCCCGCGCAAGGTTTACAGTTGAGGCGATTCCCTGAAATCAAATCAGCCCGGTTTTTCCTACATTTGTTCTTTCGCTTCAAGCCCCTTCACACGGTTGCCCAGCCACTGCCGATTCTATGTGCTTTTCTGTTAGCAGGGCTTCAGGTTGCTGGAGGCTTGGGCAACCTTGGTAGCCAGCAGGCAGACGTTCGACGAACTCAAAGGAGGGTTCATGGAAGTGAATCAATGGAGAAGAGGCATTCATTGCCCAACCCTGGAGTCTCTGTTAAAGAAACACACACACACACACACACTCCCAAGTCGTCATCAAACGTGGTCCAGCACACGAGTACGGTCAAATCTTGTGGGGCATTGTTTGACTCAAGGTTCGATTCCGAAAATCGTCGGCTACACGGCAGGGAATGCAAACGGCTTGTACCTAGAAGAGATTGGCCAATGTTCGACTTAGATCAGGTGCCCTTCCCCTTTAAGGTTTCCACTCCTAGTTGGTCCACAGCTGGTACACCTACTAGGTCCCCCAGTAGTGCCGTTTCTCACCCCTTTTTTGGTTGGGAGGGTTCCCCTACTAAAATAGACTACAGAAAAAAGGGTACCCTTGTTCTAACCTCTCTACTGGAGGACCTAGCCTATATTCCGGAATCAAGAAGTAGCTGAAGTCTTTAGAGACGCTGAGCCTACTCCCAACTCTTTTTACGGAATGTAAGGGTGGGTCGTTGCGAGGCCTGGAATTGGTTAAGGTTCCTCAGGAAGTTTTGGGACGTGAGGGATTCCCGAACCTTTGCATCGCAGGTGATGAGTGCGGACACCCGAATGAGATGCCGTGGTTTTTGTTCGCCTAGAGAAACGCTCCTGGCAGGCAGGCTCTAATTACCCCCGCAATTAGCTTCCATTTGCTGAAATTAACATGTTGTTATTGTCTATCACTTTTGGACATATTATTGTTGTTGTTTCTTTTCTCCAGGGGACGGGAACAACGCATGGTTGTAAGGGTTTTCAGATGGAAGGGTAGTGCAAAGCGGATGCCATGGACATTGTCATGACAAAACTGGGTGTCGCTCCCCTAGGCTTCCATATGGGGTGTTTCCGTCGTTTCTTTGTGTGTTTGTTTGTTTGGTTTTTTGTTTGTTTGTTTTCTTGTTTGTTTGTTTGTTTGTTTGTTTGTTTGTTGTCTTTTGTTTTTGTTTATTTCTTTCTTTCTTTCTTTCTTTCTTTGTTTGTTTGTTTGTTTGTTTGTTTGTTTGTTTGTTGTCAAGCACACAGCACACCTCCCTTAAGAAGTGGTACCCTTTTTGCAGCTGGCGTAAAGGGAAACCACTGGGAAGCTCAGCTTTACATGCTTGGGGTCCAAATCCGCATCCATATTGAGGACCTGCTGAATATGGACCGTGACCATGCGGATTTTGGTTGCTTTCTTCTTCCTTTGCAATGTTCAGATTGCAATCGCCCAGATTGGGAGTTGAAGTGTGTGTTTTCAGGCTTTTGGTACTCTTTTCGGCTTAATTCAAGGGAGAACCAACGGATCACTATTTTGGTAATGTTGATCCCCGATTAATCAACCTCTGTTTATTAATATCGGGGTGGCCCTGGATTTAGTGGGGGATTAAACCACTTTTGAAGGGGGCCAAAACCACCCCCTTATTCATAAGCGGGGGTTGACTAATATGGGGTTAACATCAGGTCCACATCCATTTTCACATGGAGTTTTGTCATCTTTGTGGCTCTTGGTCTTCTTTGTGGCCGTTTGGAGGCTCCCATTCCGATCTCTGGACACATTCTTGAAGGATCCCAAGCAAATTGGCTGAGCGAACTTGGAGTACAGGTTCTGCTGCACAGCTGTCCTTTTCAGTTCTGGTTAGACATCGATGGGGTTCCGATGGTTTGAAAATTGGTTTGATTCGCCATGCATTCACCAGGGAAACCCATCTATTTTACCAAAAGGACACCTATGGTCTGGTGTTTCTCTGCCTCAAAAGAGTGTTGGGTACGTCCGCCCAACTGCAACCCGAGCACTGACGACCCTTGCGTGGAGATGCGTCGGTGCGTTAAAAGGGTCCGTTTGGGAGTAAACCGGAGGTGTTCCGCTGGTTTCAGTGTGGTTCCCTTTCATTTACTGACAGGATCTATTTGCTTCTTTATCAAGAGCGCCTACTTCCAGGGGCAGGGTACTTGGTAAGTGGTTAGTAAGCCTGGCTACTGAGCTAGGATATTTATACCATAAGTGAGAAGCATGGTTGTTACCCACTTCCTAAGTACGCTGCCCCTTTGAGTAGGCGTCCCTTTTGTGCAGGTCGCCTTCTTTTCGACAAAGTTTCGCTTCCTTTAATCTAACTGTTAGCTGGTTGGTCAAGATGTCTTTCAAGCGCAGTTCTTTAGAGACTATTTTGATACCAGGTTTTGATTATGACTTAATTCACCATTGGACTCCTTGGACTTCGCTTCAGCAGTACCAACCAGATCCAGGCTCCGGGTCGTTGTGGTCGCATAATTCAACCCTGACAGGAGGTGTTGCAAACACCCTATGCTGCAAGTGGTGTCTTTCAGCGACCGTCAACAGCATGACTTCGGAATTCGAAGGACCGTAGGATTCTAAGGGTGGCAAGCCCTGTTAGGCAGGACATGCTCTTCCCTTGGGGTTCTCCGACTAGGGTCCTCTGGTTCATACGAGGTTAGTATGGGGTCCATCCGCCCTTTTTCATTGGTTTTGTTTTGGGGGCCATGAAGGATTTTTGGTTCCGGGCTACTCCTTGGGCTTGGTTTTTGAGTGGGTTACTTGCCAGCCCCACCTTTTTACGTGGAACTGGGGCCCCGCTCCCCTGAAAGTATGGGCTTCGAGCTCACATAGATCCTTCTTTCTTTGGGTCTTGGCTCGATTTTCCCTCCGAGGCTCGGTGCCCTGTTGGTTTCAACAGGAGCCCCACAAAAAAACCAACGCGCAGACCCCGCCCGCATCCTTCAAATCCACCGGACGACCGAGGCCCGACGAGCCCCAGGCGAGAGGACCTCGGGTACTGCTTGAGAGACCGGCGGCCGTCCCTTCTTTCCCTCGCTTCCTGAGGTCATGAACTTTAAACACTTTTTGGGTCTGGACCATTTTAGTGGTAAGTACAAAGTTTGAACTTTTTGGGAAGGCCATTTTAGTGGTAAGTACAAAGCTTGAACTTTTCTTGGGCCATCCACTCGGCAAGTGAGTTCCCGGGCGTCGGCTTCTGGCTTTTTGTGGGTCTTCTTTGTTGGATGGTTTGAAGATCAGCGGATTTTTGGAACATTTGAGTGAGTTTCTTCTGGAGCCGCTCGAAGGGCAGTTCAATTAGAGCAGGGTGGGGTGCTTTCAAACCAAATAAGGTTATGACCTCATGTCCATGGAATAATCACGCGCGTAGTTATATGGTCATATATAGCTGAGTTTCATCATTTGCTTGAAAGCTACTAGTGACCAAATAGAGGATCTTGGGAGCATCCCCGGGAAGTCCCAAAAGTGGTCCACGGTTTTGACAAATGCCAACTGGAGCACAAGCAAATTGAGGTTCACCAGTATTCCCTTCGGCCCCCAAAATGGCCATGGGTCACTTGCCCCATGTGGTGAATGTCATCTTGTTCGGTGGTTGCCCTAATGGTCACCCCTTGTATCACGAACCTTTTGATCTACCCCCAACATGTCAACAGGCAATGCAGCCGAGACTAGGGGGGGGGGGCTGCTCCCCACTCAACGTGAAGGATCCTTCCAAAACAACGAGATCTTAACCCGGTGAGGCCCATTCTTTTCAGTGGTTTTTCAAAATCATGGGAACACGGTAGACTTCCGAGAAGAATAGTGGAAGCTGGTTAGCATCACCCTTTGTTTCACTGGGATAACGGACACCGATAGAACTGCAACCGGCAGGAACCAGCAAAACAAAACAACCCGCAGAACGGCGGCCAAACAAAACTGCCAATCAACGTGCCCTACAAGTAGCCCAAAGTCTCTGGCCAACAGCATTAGAACTCCTTTGTTGTTTATTTTTTCCAGGGGACGTTTGTTGTATGTTTTGGGCCGTGCACTTCCACGTTGGTGCTTCTTTTTTTTGGGAGGGGCGGGGGAACACGTTTTGGGCAAACATGGACTTTTGTGCAGACATGGGGGTCGTCTCCTGGGGTTCCCTGGAACAATCTGAAGGATGGGGCATGACAGGGAGAGGAGGTCCCAGGGCAAAGAGGCGGAGTGCTTGAACACATGCGCTTCCACGCAAGTGTTGCTAGGGGTTGACCTTTTTGGCGTAGGAGCTTCCATGTTTGGAACGCTCCGATCCCCTCCCAGAAATCAGCGATTCGGCGATGCGCTCCGAGAAGACGGCCTGCGCAGTGCAGTTCCAATGGTGTCCAGCTTGTGGATGGCTATGTAAGAGACATACATCCAACAACAACCGCTCATCTTTGAAAGAATGGTATTTGAATGAAATGGTAAGACACGCATTTGAAATGGATTTCTCTTCCAGAATTGTTTCAACAAAAAGGCTGCGCCCTGTCTGTGCAGTTCCATGACTATGAGTTTGGAGACCAAACAAAGAAAGACTGTTGAACTGAGGTTGCTTTCGATGTTGGGTAGCATTTGCCAGTATGACACTTTGGGTCAGAATTAAACCACCAGGAATTGGACAGCAGATATTAGTCCATGTCCATTTGCCAGGGCAACCCATTTGGGGGCTGCCCTATTTTTCACAACCACGGCCATATAATTAACACTACTAAACAACTTTAGGCACACCCACATGAAGCAGAATTCGCCAATATGCAACTTCTATGCCGAGTTGGGCTTCCCGACTCAGAGCTGAGCCAGGCGCCCCGCGGAGTGGCGCCCCCCGCCTCTGTGGCACCGCCCGTGGCGCCGCCGGCGGCGCCGCCGGTGGCGCCGACTGCGGCGCAGGCTGCGGGCTGGGCGAGTGGGGCGGGTGGGGCGGGTGGGGCTGAGCCGTGTGAAGAGCCTACCTCAGGGTTGGTTTTAAGAGGAATTCACACTGGACATTTTTTTTTTCTTCCTGGGGCCTTAGCCAAATGGAAGTTATGATTGGCAGGAAACCGCTGATGTCCAAAGGTTTCCCGGAAACAAACAGGGGTGAGTGGTTGATCGAAAGGTCCGTGATACATGGGGTGACCATGAGGGAAATCACCAAAAAGATGCGACTTCCCCACGAAATGGGGAAACATGCCCCCACAGTCATGAGGGCTCCGAACGGAATATTGATCAACTCCCTTACATATTATACATATACATATACATGTTGCCCCCCTCCCCGCCCCCAAGATCCGGGAAAAAGGGGGGGGGAGCAACCATGTATATTTTCTTTATATACACGTATAAGCCAGCATTCTTGCCACCCGAAGGCAGCCGCAGGAAACGGATCCATTGGGACCCCCGATAGAGCGGCTCTCGGATGGAAGATACACAAGTTCACCTCGGTTTTTAACAGCATCACTTTAAGGGGGGGGCTTGAACCAGTAAGTCTAGTTGACAGGAGAGATCCACCTCCTTTGGTATTGTTAAGCGGTGCCTGCGGGACGTCCTCTATGAGAACTACACGAAGGGTTGTGGAGACAGTCGACTCATCCGACTGCCTGCCTGGGGCTCCTGAAGTTGGTGGCCTTGTGAGAGGGGGGTCTGTACTATGTGTCTTCACCAATGGTGGACCTAAGCCAAGAAAGAATGATCCTGGATTGCTTTCCAACTTCCGCACTTCTTTCAGGCGTCAACCCAAACAGCAAGCTGAAGTTGTTTGAGTTGGAGAAACCGCAATTCTACCCTGTCTCCTGCTTTGCGAATGGTTCACTTGTATGTTCGTCTTGAGCCAGAGGGACATGGGAGAGCTCGCCAAATTGCCAGGACCAGCGTGCCAGCGCAAGGCGGGGCGCGGGATGGGTGGCCTTGTAGCACCTCATCGTGATTTTTTTGGTGGGGGGGATCCCGCTTCGGTTTGTTTTGGTAGCAAAAGAACGGGGCACGGACCGCATTGGGGGTACCCGAATTTTGCGACTGGACATATCTCGGGTGGGGCATGTGGGTTTGTCCTTTTTTGGGAACCCTGTGTTGGTTGGTTCAAAAGGGAAGCCAAAAGCCATCTTCAAGGGTCCCCCCAAACGAGTAACATAGAAGGCTAGGGGCACGTGTCTTATCTCCCTTTGCAAGACACGTGCCCCAGAGTCGGATTTTTCTGGTCTGCCACTTCCCGAAAAAACAAAAAAATCGGACCGGGCGGCACTTCCCAGCCCGTTGCAGGAGGCTTTTTTCAAGGCGAAATATGGGTGTGGGTCAAAAATAGGTACCCCAAATTGAATCCTGGTAAATGGAAACACGGATTAAAAATTGACTAAAACCTGCGGTTACCTGGTGGTTTAATTTTGACCCCATACCCATGTTGCTGTGGCTCAAACAAATTAATCAACGCACCTTGGAAAATGGGACCAAAGACTAAAGCTCTGGAAAAATTTGAGCCACCATATGTTCAAAGTATGTCCCGGTTTTGCAGACATGGAGTCGGCTTACCCAACACATCTACCGTGCAAACATGGAACTGCAGAGACCCGAATCATTCCCACAACCTATTCGGAAGTCGATGTTCCTTTGGGGAGGGGGTTTCACAATGCCATGTTTGTTGTTAGGCCTTGTGAGGTGCGTTGACGGTCAGTTTCGACAAAACCACACGCAGACTATAACACTGGGCCTGCCGGCGAGGGAAGTCCTTTTTTGAGCTAATTTGCACGCTTTCAGTGGGGAAGGGGGAGGCTAACTTGCTTGTGTTCCAAGGGGCAGCTCCTTCTGAGGGAAAAAGGCGAGTGCGAGTCACTAAACATCTGAACCGGCGGGGCTTTCGAGAAGAGCCCCAGATTCGTGGTGGGGAGCTCGCACAAACAAACTATCGGGAGTCCTTTGGAAACATAGATGGTGAAGGAAGAGGAAGGAAACGCAAGCCAGTGAATCCCGCTGATTCATCCAAACCGAAACCAGACAGGGCCAGGGCACCTATCGTTCATTGGAACATGAGCCCAGCGAAATGGTGGGACGAGGCCGGGTCGGTGCTCACTTGAACGTCTCTTTGTGTGCATCAAAGCCAGGGATCCGAGCCAACTGGTCTTGCAAAAGGCAAGCCATCGAAGGCAGCGCTTGTTCGGACGCAACAAAAATCCTTTTCGGGAGTCAGACATCTCCGTTTCTTTTCTCTTTTTTTTGGGGGGGGGAGGGGGGGGGTTTAACGGGGTAGGAAAGTGGACAGCAGCCGGTTAAACGGTTGTTGTTTTTTTGGGTTGGGGGGCCTATTTTTCACGGGACGAACAGTGGACAGCCGCCGGCGAATCTGTTTCTTCTCCTTGAGGCCGCTAGGTCACAAATTTTCGTGTGGCAAAAAAACGGCCCGACAGGTCGCATTTTTTCGGTCCAAAAAGTTCGGCAGAACCGCGAGGGCCATGGCGGACATGGGCTTCGACTCCGAGTCCGGCTCCAACGCCGCCGAGGTCCGGGCCCCTGAGATGATCGCGCCGAGCCGTCGGGTCGGTGGTATGAGCTCAGATGGGTGGCTCTCGTTTTTGCTAGAGTTGGTATGATTGTTTGTGTGTGGTTTTCAAGGCGGGGGTCCTTGCTTTTTTGTGGTTTCAAAAGAGAAGCCAGAAGGAAGCTCGATTTTTTTTTGGGACGGGGGACCCCGTTAAAAAAAAAAAAAAAAACAAAAAAAAAAAAACACGCACAGATGTAGAATAATCAAAAGATACCTGGTAGGATTCCTATGGGAACCATGACCATGGGCCATGTAGGAAGTTTTGACCATGGCTCAAAGGGTTGTTTCTCAGAGTCCTCTCAACTGGCAACGCTCTCCTTTTGATTCCCTTTAAACAGTTCCCAAGCGACCGCGGGTCTATGTTGAGAGACTCCCACGCGGTGAATTTTTAGAGTTGGAGCCTCCAAGTGTTTAGTGGATTTGGTCCCTTCCAGCAGAAGTTTGATGTCAGGGCCCTGTTCAAATTCATGGCCCACATGTCAACTCAAGACTTGTCCCATGAAGGCCAAAGGGGAACCGGCCATGTTTTCCCAGGTTCTTGGCGACTCGCCCATCGCCCAACATGAGCGTTTAACTTTGCACACCACGATTTGCCCACAGACCGCGAACAAGTTTCACTGGGAGCGATTTCCCGTGTCTTTGGTTGGGAAAACTCCATGGAACCCAGGAGGGCTTGGAATGGAACCTGCAGACGGCCTCACCCCCATTTAGGCCCTGCTCCTTTTGGTATGAATTCTCATCGGGGACATGTTCGACGTTATTCACCTGAGGCACCATGTTTTTTTTTTTGTTTCTCAACAGCTTTGGGGTCTTTGCCCAGATCTTTGCTTCGCCACCCGCCATCGACTCTCCCGTCGTTCGCACCCGCGAAAATGATCAGACCTCGCTCGATGGGCGTTGCTTGAAGCCGAGGCCTTCCCTCGGGAACGGCCGTCCGACAGGCCGCGGTTCTGATCGCTGGCACCGCGGGGCAGCCGTGGATCGCATCCGAAAGAAAGCCATTGGTTAAAGCCCGATTGCTAGAACCCATTTGCTGGAGCCCGATTTGCTGGAACCCATTGTTAGAGCCCAAGTGCTAGAATCCATTTGTCAGCTCCTATTTGCTTGCTAGAACTCATTCGTCAGAACCAACTTGCTGGAATGCATTTGTTGGAGCCCAATTGCTAGAACCCATTGTCAGAGCGCATTTGCTAGAACCCATTCGTAGAACTCATTCGTCTGAGCCGATTTGCTAGAACCCATTTGTTAGAGCCCATTTGCTAGAACCCATTGTTAGAGCCCATTTGCTAGAACCCATTTGTTCGAGCCCGATTGCTGGAACCCATTTGTTAGAGCCCAATTGCTTGCTAGAACTCCTTCGTCAGAACCAACTTGCTGGAATCCATTTGTGAGAGCCAATTTGCTAGAACCCATTTGCCAGAACCGATTTGCTAGAGCTCATTTCAATTTGTTGGAACCAATTTGCCAGAACCCATTTGTGAAGCCCATTTGCTAGAACCAACCAATTGTCAGAAGCAAAGCGTCAGACACAATTTGTTCGAACCCATTTGTCCGAACACATTTGTCAGAATTATTGCCTCGCACCAATTTGTTAGAGCTCGTTTGTTAGAACCAACTTGTTAGAACCCACTTTGGCCCACCAAAGTTATTTGCGCTACTAGCCAGCTTAGTGATAGGGTTAAAGGAGAGCCCCGGTGTGGCGAATGATTCTTTTCAGGGATTCCTTGTCGGGTCAGGGAGAGGTGAGTTTGTCTCAAACGGGGGACCCACACAATGACAAAGGCTTTCTTTTAATTGCTTTTGGTTTCTCCTTTTAAACCAACCCAAACAGGGTACCAACTCTAGAAAAGACAAACACCGGCGAAACCTCTACTGGGTGTTCCATCCTTTTGGAGTTTCCTGGACAGCTGGAATTCGGTCGCGCGACGCGAAACGGGTGGGCGTTTCTAGGCTTAGTTCACTCATGCCTCCAAATCGAGGAGTTACTTCCAGTTTTTGCCAAGTCAGTTGAGCCAGAAGCGAAGGGGACAACACCAACCAGGAATCAGGAATCTCTATATAAAGCTGTTGCCACCAAACACCCCTCAAATAATTATACCCCCCCCAAAAGGCACCTTCCGTTTTGGTTTATTTCAGTCTGAACCCCCGCCCCCCAAAAAGCAAACCAAACAACAAAACAAAAAGCACCATCCGTTTACTCCCAAAGACCCCTTTCCGTGCTCTCTCTTTCGGTCATCTTCAGCTCTGATGTGTGTTGATCTCTGTGTCCCAAATCCAGATATCCGTCGGGCGCCAGTCACGGAGTCACGGAGTCCCGGCCAGGGCCGCGATGGCAGACCTCGGTTTCGACTCCGAGCAGCCCTCGCCCGTGCAACACGACGCGCGGGGCCGGGCCGAGTCGAGCGCGGCTTGGCTCGGGAGGGTTGGGGGGGATGGGTGGGCTCGGTGATTTTCCCCGGTTTTTTTGGGGGGTCACCTTGTGTTTTTTTTTTGCTCTCCCCGTTTTCTTTTTGGGTCATTTGTAGGTTCTGCCTTGGTTTTTCCCCGGGTTTTTGGGGTCCTTTCTAGGTTTTTTGGTTGTTTGAAGATAGGGCAACTGCAAATCTCCCGACTTTTGAACATGCTGGAAGCCCCCTTTTCTTGGTCCCCATCACTTCAGGCGACACTTTGACAGCCTCCCCAATGTTTTGCAGCTCAGGACTGGGACGACTGAGCTAATGCCCTGCACACCGCAGACTGCGGCGCGCGCAGTTCGCGGTCTGCTCGAATTGGGGAGATGTCAAAACCAGCTCCACGCAGCGCCGGGGTCGGCCTCTTTCGAATTTCAAGGTCTGTTCTCACCTGGACAAGATGAATGTGCACTGCTTGAAGCGAGGTGGAACAGGTGGCTTGCTGCTCAAGCTGACGATGCTTTGAAAGGGTAGTGCCAGCTGGATTCGACACACACCTATGTTAGACCGCTGCACGCTTCTGAAGCCTCGGCCAGAGAATGTCGCCAGAGAATGTCGCTTGGAAGGCTAGCTCTTGGACTCACTCACTGAGTTCATGGACTTTACAACTTTTTGGGAAGACCATTGCAGCGGTAAATCAAAAGTCCGGGTACGCTTTTTTGGCCCATCCACTCGATCGGAAGTGAATGGAAGAGCGCCAGAAACTTTTTCGGGGCGTTTTCTCCTAGTTGTCAGCCCCGAAAGGTCCCCGGTGAAAAAAAAAAACCCTTGGTTCAAATGGGTCAGCCCCCTTCGAACGGTGGTTCGGCCGATTTCCCGGGATTTCTTGGCCCATTTATGATTAATTATCAGAAGGACTCCTGAACCGAATGGACGTCGCGGGTGCGCGACTTCTTGCTCCTTGGCCTGGTTGAACTCGTGCCGAGCGGCGAATTCGACCGAATCTGCGGCAAGCGCCTGCTTGCGCATCGCGGGTGGAAGAAGTGTGGACCTGGGGTCATGTCGTCGGAACAAGCTCGACACACGTGGCTTCAAATTGGTGACTGGAATGTCAAATGTTGTTGATGTCAGTTTGGTTCACTAAGCGTTTGGTTTCCCAAGCCGTGACACCCACGTGCAAATAGCAACAAACGCTTTGGTGTCAACCATGGTTTCCAAGTGGTGCGAAATGGATTTCGTCCATCCACAATAGAACTCTCCCAAGTTCAAGCTGAAGAAAAACCGTCACGACTGCGGGTGCAAGGACGTACTTGTAGGGGTAGCCATGCCTATCGTTGTGATAATTCATCCAATAAGTGTACGCTGGCCAGATTTCTTTCGCAGACTTTCGCATGAGGGCGACATTTCCCTCTTCCAGTGAATGCCCTAGTGCTGCTGAAAAGCTTGCCTTGGTGTCCCTCAAGGAAGCCGCAGTGGGATTTCACATCTTCCAGCTTGGCAAGGTACAGCGAATTGGTCCAATTCACGTGGGTTCCGCCAACATTCGTATTGATGCCGTGAAGGACGTAGCTGGTAGTAAAACCACCGTTGTGTCTTGAAGTGGCGCAAGGCAAGGATCTCGAGAGCGGACACACCTTGGCGGATGACAACATTGGCCCCGAGAATCGCGTGTTGGATGTGTTTGCCCCACAACCAATGACACGCAGGAATCCCTACGCCGCAGGGTTAGGCAGAAAAGGATCGAGGCTTATTTGCGCGGGTTGTGGCCATCTAAGCTTCGTTGTTCGGCTTCACTGGCGATTTGCAGGTGATTTGCGTGGAAGATGGCGGATCTCATTCCCCCTCCCTTTCCCGCGCCCCGACGCATGTTTATCCTGAGGCAATATGGAGCCAAAAAACAGTGTCCTCCTTTAGAAGAAAGCTATCTAAACCAGGAACCCCCTCAGTTGGATTCCATGTGGACGTGGATAGAGTAGGATTTTCGCCGGGTGGAAGGAATGCACGTTTTTACGGGTTCTCTGCGAAAAGGGTGGCTCATGGGTCCTTATGTTTTTTTTGAGGCGGGATGAGAATCATCTCGTGTGACAGTTGTTGGTGAATCAGGAACCCTGTTTGGTTTGATCACGATATAGATTGTACCCACGGCTCGGGCCCCTTCAATCGAAGCGGGGTTCGCCACCGCCGTAAGGGGACCAAGAAATGCGGGGGGACTCTTCCCGTTTGAGCCGTGAGCCCTGGGGGGTTTGTTTGTCTCGACCGACACGCACAGCCCCGGGCCCGCGTCCGGCTCAAGCGAATCGGCGTCTTGTGTCTCATGTTTAGGGTGCGAGCAAAAAAGTAATCACAAATTCCCACGCAGAGTTGAGGCAACACCATGGGCCTCTGACGAAAAAAACAGAATCGGTCAAGAGACCCAGTCATCTCATTGAGGAAGTAGCTTGGCTTCGCTGGACTCGAAGAGCAAAAGCCAAGAGCCAAGGAGCAAGAACATGATGCGGGTTTTGGCTTTCCCGCCCACAAAGCCAACTACCCTAAGGGTCCTGATGGAATTTTGGGGCCTCAAGATATGTCCTTTTCACTCCACATGTTCCCGCATCGTGGTTCATGTGCCGGTCACTGCAGTCGGTTAGTTGCTCCCCCAAGAATCGCAACGTTTCCCGCTATCCTCACTCAGACGTCACCCGGGGGTTTGCCCTTTGGATGGCAGCTAGGATGTACTGCCAACGGTTACTGAACCGGTGGCTCTCAGAGAACCATCGTCCAGTGACTTTTTAAAACGAAAAGAGCCCCTCAAAAGTGGACATGAATCCCCAGCCCAAAAGATGGCCACAGGATCCGGAAGTAAAAATCATGCCCATCGCCCCAGACTTTGCGAGGGATGCAATTGGACACCAAAACGGCCCACGCCGCAAAACGCAAACGCGTCGAGAGCAGCTTCCACCGGGGCCACGATGGCTGAGCAGGCGGTGTGGTCAAATTGCCGTGGCGGGGTTTGCTCGTTGGTTCCACGGTTGTTTTTGGGCGGGTATTTTTGTTCTTTCACTGCTATGCTTGCTTTTCGGTTCGGGCCGAATTGATTTTTCAAGAATGAACGATTTTTGCCAAGACTAACCGCTGGCAAATGGAGGGCTTTGATAAAGACTAAAGACCCTTCAGCCTTTTTGATCGTTAAACGTGGTTCTTGAACTCAAGCGTTTAACCGTTTCTCCTTTTGGAGTACAGTGTCTCCCACCTGGGAACGCTTGTTGCAGGTCAGGGGTTCATCATGCCCCCAAGGACGAGAAAAGGGTTTCCGGGAACGGAACGAGTCGTGGGGTGTGATCCCTTGGCGAACGTGGGCGGAATCAGGCGACTCCTCGCCCCCCTTCTCCGAATTGGGACGTCACGCGATTCGGGGGGTTGAGTCCTGGATCCCAAACCCAGTTGTTCAGTGGCACCCTTTCTCTTTTTGTTGGTGGCTGCCCCGCTAAGAAGGGTCCAAGCCCCAAGAAGGGTTCACTTTTTTCCCCAGGGTCACTGAACCACTGAGCAAAAGGTCTGCCTCCACATGATTCGCGCGGTGCTTTGAATCCAGATACCCAAGTGAACCAAAATTGCGTCGAAGGGATCTGGGGAGGATGGGAAGTCAGGTTTTAGATTCCTTCTCCTTGGGCAGAGATCCCATGTGGACGGACGAAATCCATTTCGCACCACTTTGAAACCATGGTTGAAACTTGTTGAAACCATAGCGTTTGTTGCTATCTGCGTTGGGGAATCGACTCAGAAACCAGGGTTTCTGAGTTCGGGATCGAAGTTTCGCAACCATCCACAAAGCACAAGACATGTTGTCCCACTTCCGCGGCTTGGCCAGCAAGTCCGTTTAAAAAAAAAACATGGACTAAAACAACCATGGACTTTTTTGGTGGAGGCAGACTTGAACAAACATGCCTCCTGCCTTTTTTGGCCAACAACCATGTTGCCGCGAAATTGATCTCAAGACAGTAGTTCAGGCCCTGGCCAGGCCTAGCAGCCCGGCTGGCGGCCCAGCTGGCGGCGCGCATGGAGGCGCGAGCCACGAACCCGAAGCAGCGCTCGTAGGCGGAGACGCTTCTAGATCCAGCGATGGGTGCCCTTTTACCCTTTCCTTTTTTGGTTGGGAGGGTTCCCCTACTGAAATAGACTACAGAAAAAAGGGTACCAACTTATTCTAGCCTCTCTACTGGAGTTTCAATGTGGAGTTCATGTGAAAATTCTTCAGACCACCAGCTGTTTTGACAGGTACCTTATCACGGGACCCCCCGAAACGTCCGGTTCCATGTGAAAAGGGTGGGAGGGGTATATGGCTGTGGGAAAAACAGGTACCCAAAATGGAACCCTGGCAAATGGAAACATGGACTAAAACCTGCGGTCCCCTGTTGGTCTAATTTTGACCCATACCCATGTGAGTATATAAAGTTAACCCCATATGGATCCTCCCCAGTTTGTTCATAGGGGGGGCCTCCAAAAGTCGTGATTCCTACAACCCCCGGTATCAATAAACAGCCCCTCCAGAAGTGATGGTTCCAACCACTAAACCCAACGACACTGCCCTCAAAGTGGTGGGCTTGAAATGCATCTGGGGTCAACATATCCCACTTTGTAGAACCCCCCCCCATGTTGGGGTCGCCTCGGGTGTGTGTTTTCCCTCTTTTTTCCTCGCGCGCAGAGGCCTCGGACGCACCCCGCCGCCTGCGAGGCCTAAAGTTTCTCGGGGTGGGCAATGGCGTTGTTTGAACGTCGGTTCTGCAAGGGTCCTGGGGCAGGGCCTTGGTCTCACTTTTTGGCCTTTCACGGGTGGAACCCCCCGGACATCCGGTTCAACTTTGGGGCTTTAGCGTGTGTGTTTTGTTAGGTGAAGGTTGGTGTTGGGGTGTGTTTGACTCGGCGAAGGGTTTTCGACGTTTGGCAGGGGATCTGAAAAAGCGGACGGCCCGTTCTTTTTTGGGGGGAGCCCAATTTCAAGACACCCATTTGCGCAATGGTCGCCTTGTAGGTTTACTTTGGATGGTCACCCACCTGGTCTCTACCCGCAAATCAACCGGCAACCCTTGGTTTTACCATCAAGGTCACCCCGTTCGGGTGGGCTAAAGGGAAACCGCCCCATGGTTTTGACTTACCAAGCGTCGAAGTCATGACCTTTCTGTTCATGGGGCCACGGGCCGAGATCGGAGGATCTTTGGCCCCACCTGTGACTTTAGGGAAGGCCAAAAGGCTCGCGGGCCGTTTTTTTTCTCGCATTTTGGTTCTGACCAAAAAAAAAGCGGATTCTGGCCACTCTGCCGGGGTCGTCATTTTGAAAGAAGCGCTGATCTCGGTGTGTTTTGGATTTCCCGCCAGACTAACATGGAACCTGACGTTCGGGGGGGGGGCCTGCTTTGGACCATGTTCCTTTTAAAGGGGCCGGGTCTCAGGTTCCATGTGAAAAGAGTGAGGTTAAATGGTGTGGTCCGGCCATGCCGGGGTCATTTTGCAGTCAGGAGCTGGGGTTGGGTTCTTTTAAACCCACCGATTAGAGGATGACTTTGACGTTAAAGTACTTGGGCCGCTGAGCACATGGAAAGGTATGAAGCCAACCGTATCAACCCAAGCAACGGGCACAGGACCACCTTTTCAAGTGGGACACGCAGAGGGGCCGCCTATTTTTTGGCAGGGCAAGATCAAGGAGCCCGGGTTGTTGAAAGGGAAAAGGGACACCGGCCATCCATTTACACAACAAATCTTTGGGAAAACCCGGTAAGGGACAATCCCCTTGCCATAAATAGCTGCGGATATCCGCCTTCTTCATTCTCGAAGCATGGTTCTGGGATTACGACCATTTTAATACCGGGTTTTGAGCAAGTGGCTTAAGAAATACGATTGACTCAGAGATTGTAGCCATCTCACTAGCAGCCAAGTGGTCCTTCTTCCGTTTGATGACTCAGGTCAACCACCCATCTCCTGAGCCCAAAGCCGGCCACCAAAGTGTGCCGACGGGTTTCCGAGTGCAGCATTGCGGGCTGTTGCTTCCATTTGCTTCAGTTTTTTTGGTTTTTGTTTTAATTAAATGTTTTTTTTTCTCCCTTGTTGGTTTTAAAGGGAATCTATCACTACTGGACATATTTGATTCTTTTCCCGGGGGCTGAAGCAAATGGAAGGTTGTGTTAGCGGTCAACCTCACAAGGGAAGTTGGTGATTTGGCTTGCCACCGGAATCCACATGAAGGTTCCGCATTCAGGTTGATGAACAAACAGCTGATTCACCCGAATGCATCGCTGTGATACCGGGCCTTCTGATAAGGCGCCTGTAGGGAACAGAAAAACTTGCTCAGATCTAGAGCCTGCAGCAAATGGAAAACCAAACAAAGCCCCCCCTTTTCCAGGTGGGTACACAATGCACAACATGTCAGATGCTGGTCCATTTTTAGTCTACACATATATAAACAATTTTGGAGGAGTGAGCGAACATAGGTGTCCTGTGTGGTCAGTTTGGTTGACATGGAACCTGACAGGAGGTCTTTTTGGGAGGAAACTTGTCTTCCAGGAGTGGGGCAAGGGGAATTGAGTCGAGTCACAAGTCGTTGACTCCAGGCGGTCGCGTGTGTGGGCCCCAGTGCCTCCAATGTCACCAGCAGGTTTCCGGGAAATTGGGGCGTGAGAGTTGGGCCCAAAACCTGCAAAGCATGGACAACACCCTGGCATACCCCATGGTTCTAAGGCCAAAATAGGAAGCCGCCTGTTTGGGAGGTTCGATACCACCAATTTGGAAAGCCAGTCGATGCTAACACCCATGTTGCAGGTTTGCCGCATCGGCCACAATATCTGGGTGTATGGTGGATTCCTTTCGGCTTCCCTTTACAGCAGCCCCAAAAGAGGCGCCCCTCATATATATATATATAGCTTGACATGACGTTCGGCCACCATTTGGTTCCTGCTTTCTAAGCCACCGCACGCCCAGGGAACCCAGCCGGTTCTTGAGAACGCCATTTGTTTTCCTTTTTCTCCCCTCATTTGGACTAAGAACACAGCCGCCTATGCTCGCTTGTTTGCTTTTGTTGTTTGTTTGTCGGTGTGTCGGTTGGTCAGGTAGTGACTTTTACATGTCACCAACTTGGCGCAAGAATTTGATCTACGATCGCATTGGTTCGCCCTTTCTCTTGTTTCTCTACACTCTACATGTTCGGCACACTCCTTAAGTATATACGTGGATCTCTGGCCAGGAGAGACCAAGTGGTTGGCCGAAGACGCGTTTGAATCCACGTTTCGGGTGGGCTTAAGGGCGGGGTCTCCAAGACCATTTGCATGTTAGACCAAGTATGACTTACACTTCAAAACCAAAGGGATCCCATTTGGTGCACCACCCATTTTGGTCTATAGTGGGGATTGGGATGTTCACTGGGGGTACGGGGTTTTGACCCATGGCCATATATATGGCTGTGGCTTCAAAAGACGGTACCCAACATGGCACCTTGTCATATAAAAACAAAGGCTAAGACCTGCGGATTGCCCCGGCTGTTGAGTTTTGAGCCACAGCCATATGTTTTGCTGGTACAGGGCCAAGTTTGGCGACGGAAGAGAACCAATCTGAGCCGGTCACGAGCCTTTGGCTCAGTGCATGCCGCACACCCATCGCGATCGGAGAAGGCCAAGCGGAGGTCGGGGCCTTGGATTTTTTTGTTTTTCTTTGGTTTGCCGGCGTGGATTGTGACTGGCCTTTTTGCTTAAGCGCCAGGCCCCTCGGAGGCTTTGGTGCGCGGCTTTTTTCGGGGGACCCTTGGGTTCATCTCCCCACACCCCTGGGGTCATTTCCTGCTCACCAGCAAGTCTTGACAGGAGACACGGATGTTTGTTCAGGCTCAGCTGTCCTCTCCGATTGTTTCAGTTTTCTTGGGCCCGTGTTACTTCATCTTCCGCTTGGGTGATGTTTGACCTGGCAGAAGGAACTGTGAAAGTGACTTGCAGTTGCTCTAAGAGAAGTCTTTCGGGGGAGCTTTTCTATTTACCCCCCTGAGGCTCCCAAACGTTCACCCAACTTGGTGGCCCTGACCGAGAAAGGACGCCGCTTGACTGTTCCACGGGGTCCAGTTGCCATCAGGGCAAGAATTGCGCCCGACCCTGATGGCAATTTCAAGCGAGGGAAGGCTATGGCCGAACTTGTATTGTCCAGCCAGCAGTTTGCGTCCCTCGCACTAGCCCAAGCTCGGAAGCATTTACGAATACCTTTTGCCTGCAGAGGAATCGGGATTGATTCTTGTTTAGTACTCGAGATTCTTCGAGGTTGTTTGTTACATTGTTTGCGCTGAAAGGGCGCCTGCTCAAATCGTGGACACCGTTTTGGCTTTCTCATGTGTCAAGGCTCTGCGATGGACTCATCTCGCTGGACGTGAGCCTCATGGCCTTTCGCCTGCGGCGCTGAGGCGGTTTTCGTCCGAGGGGGGTGTTTGGGGGGTTGGGAGACTTGCCGCTGGACTTGTGGAGGTGTTCTTTCCTGATTCGGAGTAAGAGTGACCCCAAAGAACCTGGCAGGTGTCCCATTTTTTGAGGGCTCGCCTTTTCGGGTTGGATGAAAGGTCGGCTTTCCCTTTTTTTTGGGGGATCCCTTTTTGGACTCTTACCCACTTACCCGCCCGTCGTCTTGTTGTGGCAACAGTGTTAAAGGGGTTTTTAGCTTGGCAGCCAACGGCTATAAGCTCATTCATCCCCGAGCGGGATGAATCAGCGGTTTTTTGTTGTTGCGATGGGACTTCTTGGATCGATCTGCGATGAGAGGCTGAGGCTATGGCCATTGCTCTTGCGGGTGTCGCTGCGTTCACTGCAACATCTTCTTAGGGCTAATTTCTGAGCATGCCCTAAATATTGCAAGTAAGCCAACCAGAAATCACGGGATTTTTTAAGTTTTCTTTTTTTTGGGGGGGGGCTTTCCTCTGCTCCCTGTTTGTATTAAGGTGGCATCCACCTTGTTAGCTGTTGGCTGTAAGCCTTTTGAGTTGAATATCATTCAGGTGTATTGGGAAGCCACTCGTTTCGTGTGGAGTACATGGACGCAACCCTGTGTCTGTAGCTCACCGATTCGGGGGGGAAGCGCCTTGTTTGCCTCGCTTACCGCAGGCTGACCAGCAGATCCGCCAGAGGTGTGCCGCGCCTGGATTATCATTTTTCAAGAAGCGATGTATGGGCAGGGCAGGGCCCCAACAAAGGAACGCTGAAAGTACTAACATGGAACCGATCAGAGTGTTTGCCATGTTTGGCCTTTTCAGGGTCCCACTCTTGAAGAAAAGAAGCACTTTGATCTTTCCAGGTCTCAAAAAGGGCCTACGGCATACGGCAGGGGACTTTTCGAAGGTCGGGCCTTCAGCCCGGAAATATTCAACTCGCCGCACAGACGCCTTCAGCCCGGGTTTGTCCGTCGAACAGGGATCCGGGATCCCGGCCTTTTGGTTGTCCGGGTCCCGATAGCGCTGCTGGTCGAAGAGAAAGTACTTGTGCTCGTGAGCTCTGTGAGTTCCTTTTTTTCTTTGGCTCATGGGGAAGTTCCTTTCCCAAACGTAATCCTGAGGTTGAAGCGTTTTTGTTTCTCCCTTATTTTTTTTCATTCTTCTTTTTTCTTAAAACAAAATATATAGGGGGGGGTTGCCCCCTAAATTCCTGTTGGCTCCCCTACGCACTCCCGCTTGGGGAGAGCAATCGGCCCATTTCAACGGATGAGCTGGGCCGTGCCGGGGCCGTTGCACCTCCGAACCTGGCGCTGGTCGATATGAACAAGAGGCCCGTCTTTTTTTTTGGAGGGTGGTTTTAAGGGGAAACCAAACTTACCTCTTAAAAACACAACTTTTCAACTTTTTGGGTAACATGGGCTATATGTCTGTAAAAGATTAACTTCCCCAGGGCTTGGAGTTTCAAGGGGAAACCCAAAGGAACACTTCCGCCATGGAGATCAAATTCATGAAGAAAGGGTAAAATTATTCGAGTGGCTCGTGTTCTTATTTGTATCCCTAGCTTCCTGTGGGCAAGATGCTAGAGCCGATATGTTCAGATGGCTGTGTCGCTTTGGTCGTGGAAGCCACATGCATCCCCCATGAGTCCATTCCTTCGCGGAGCGTGAGAGTCTGCATCCCCTGTCTACCTTTGAAGCGCTCCAGTTGTCCTTGGGATTCATGTGTATCATTATGTATATAAATACACATATGAGTTTAGGGAGTGAATGTGCATATACACACACTCTCTCTTTTTAAACACACGTACGTACCGTACGTACCTGAATACCTGTATACCTACCTACCTACATACATACATGCATACATACCTACATACATACATACAAACAACCAAACAAACATACAAACTACAAACATACAAACTTACACACATATGCAAACATATAAACATACACACATACAAATATACACACACACACACTTACACACCTACAAACACACATACCCACCTACCTACCTACCTACCTACCTACCTACCTACATACATACATACATACATACATACATACATACATACATATATATATATATATACATACATACATACATATTAAACACACATATATATATATATATATATATACATACCATACACTTCCATACATCCACCAAATTTCCCCTTGGCATTGGTCCTTTTTGTACCCATCTGCCAAGGCACCGCTGGCTCCTTGAGCCAGAGCCGCTCCTGTCGGTCTTGCTGGTGCGATAGGCGAGGAATGACTGAGCCCGGGGGAAAACGGCCTCGACACTGGCGAGTGGTGTTTTGGAGGGTTTTCACTGGTGTTCGTTTTTGTTGAGTTAGTTACTGGCTGATTGTTTCGTTCTTTCTTTCTTCTGCCCATTCCGTCGTTGGTTCGTTCCTTGTTGTTTGTGCTTCGGATCTGGGATTCCTGTCCGCTAGTGTGAACAAAGCATGCTCTCAACGCCACCTACAGCCGAGATGACTTTTGAATAGGCGATCGTCTGCTAAAACTGAGCTTTTTTGGTTGGCCACACCTGTAAAGGGAAAGGGAGTCTGCTCCGAAACCCAGCCGAGCCAGGAACGCTCGCGAAACCCTGGCGATGGAGGGGGATGCAAGAACATTGAGGCACGTCGACGGAGCAGTCGGGAACTTTTTTTGTGTTTCCAGAAGAATCAGAGACCCACTTTTCATGTGTAATTATGAATGGAAGCCAAAAGATCAACCATCTTCAGGGCAACGATCATTTTGGGCCCCAACTTTCCCTTGGCAAATCATTTCGGGGGTGTTCAAGATACCGCTGACGTGTGTTTCCTCTTTTAGACCTCGGTGCATGCGGAGGTTTCTTTTTTTTGGGGGTGGATGTTTCTCTGCGGGAAATGTGGTCTTCTGCCCTCAGGCAACCTGGGGTTGCATATCACCAGAATGACCCTCACCCGCACAACACAGCTTGTATCTGAGCTCACGCCTGTTCATTTCAGCTTGGTCGCCCGGCCCTGCACACATCGATGGTAACCCTAGGGTTGCTTCGAGCGGAGAAGCACGATCAATGCCCGATGGTAGCACCTTGGAACCTCGGCTCGTGTTTTTTTTTCCATCATTTTTTTTCTCGGTTTTCCTGCATTTCCCCCCGGCCAATTTTCGCC